AAGTATTTTAAAAAATCATTCTTTTCATTGATTATTTTGGAAGCTAAATCCGGTCCAATATTAGTAAAGTATTTATTGAATGCCTCAGCAACATCATTTTGGTCTATGTGATGCCCATTATCATTAAATTCAATATTATTTGGAGTATCCTTTTTCTTCCCCAAAATGTCATTAACTGTTTGCCATAATGATTGATTATTATCTTTATTATTTTCAATTTTATTACCATAGTATAATTTGCGTGATAAACGAATAATTAAAGTCAATTTATTACGGTGCTTTTTATATTTATTTTGATTTTCATTTGTAGGTGATCGAAGTGAGATTTTATATAAACGAATTCGGGTAGATATTGATTTAAGTATACCTTGAGTAATCCATGGTCGTTTATTTTTCTTTTTATTTGACTTAATTCTTGAGAGGGGCACATTTTTATTATAATGACAAAGAAGTTTGTTTATAAATTTTTCATATGAACTGTTCACATCTCTTTCAAAATAAATATCATACCAATCTTCTTGACTCAAGTCTATCTTTAAGGATTCAATATTACGTTTGGTTTCTTTACGTCGTGTTGTATGTTCTTTATTGGGAATTTGTAGGTGTTTATCATTAGGACCTATCGTAAATATTGGTAAATGGTCTGAAATATCATAATATATTATTCCATTCTGTTTATTATCTAATACGTTTGAGAAAATATTATCAATTATAGTATGTGTTAAGTTTGTAATCCTAGTTGGTTTATTAATGAGAGGTTTAAAAAAAAATGAAGATAATAAATTAGTGAAGTGTTGGCCAAGAACGGTAAAAGGTAAGGATATATCGATATTAAAGTCTCCCATAATATATACATCTTTATTTTCTCTAGAAATAAATTCAAGGCATGATTCTAATTCATCAAAAAATGTGTCGGCTACATTGTTAGGTGGTCTGTACATTACCCCAACGATTCTATTCTTATGTTTATCATCAATAATTTCTAAAAATAATGTTTCTATTCCTTCCAGTTGAATATCATGTCTTATTTTAAATTGTACATCATTACGAGAATAAAAGCGACACCTCCCCCCTTTCCGTTTTTACGGTCTGAATGAATAAATTCATAATTCTCAATGTTGAATATTGGAGGAGAAGTTGAGTGTAACCAGGTTTCGGTAAGTCCTATCAAAGAAAATGAAAATGTGTTTAGGATAGATAAAAATTCTTCAAAATTATCGAAATTCTTTTGTAAGCTTCGAATATTGATGTTTAATAAACTAAAACAGTGAAGGTTATTATTGGGTCCCGTTGAATTAAAATTTGAATTAAATTCACTAGTAGTATAATATTTACTCTGGGGTGTATAAACTTGATCATTCAGAATATCATTTAAAGCCATTAAGATTACAAATGTGGTATTGCGACCAGTATAAATGAATACTATGTGTTTGGTGCGTGCATGTGCGTGTAAGAGTGGAAGTGCATTTATAATGGGTGTCGGCAAAAACCAACAAAATCAGGGGGGTGTACACAGGCGCGTACGCAGGGGGGGGGGGGGTTTGGGGGGTTAAACCCCCCCCCCCTTTGGAAATTTTTTGTGTGTAAACCCCCCTAAAAAAAACCTAAAACCCCCCCCCCCCCCCCTTTTGGATTTTTTTTTTTTTTTTTAATTATTAAAAAAAAAAAAAAAAAAAAAATTATTCCCATGGCCGACCTAAAAAAGGTGACCTTACCCCCCCCCCCAACGGAGCAAAATGTCAAATTTCCAAATTTCGAGACCAAAAAAAAAAAAAAAAAGTGTCCTCTTACAGGGGGGTATGATAATACCTTGGCTTTTAGCATAAGTAATACAAATAAGCAATAGTTAAGTTGAAATAAAATGAATTAACATACATCATGCCGATCCACGTCACACCGACGAAACACCGCCAGACACCGGCGAACCAGCATACCGCGGAGAGACCGCGCCACATGATAACATTAAATCACGTCATCATGGAGCGCGAAATACCAACGATACGCCAGCCACCAGACCAGGCAACGAAACGCCAGAGCAGCGCAAACGCTACTCGTTGGTCCCTCCCTGACAACCGGCATGGCAACCAGTCCAGCGGGTGAGGGTCGCTGATCATCTAACCGTGAACCGCGGGCCACGCCCACAGACATGGTCGCCACGCACTACGTTTAAAACAAGAAAAAACATCAACAAAAAACAAGCGATAGTACACTAGTTTCGTGAAATCGACAATGATATAATGAACACCGAGCATGGTATTGATGGCCAAAATTGCCCAATAGTATACAAATATACACTGCCTTGAGAGGTTCTGGTTAAAACTATGCGCAAGAGGTGACTCCAATAGTACTATTTGCTGAGGGGCGCAGCCCCGAAGCAAATGGTACTTTTGGAGTCACCGAGGTCCATAGTTTAACCAGTACCTCGAATGGAAGGCAAGGTATATTTGTTTTATATCCTGCATCAAAAATTTATTTAAAAAAAAAAAAAAAAAAAAAAAACATTTTGGGGGAAAAAAAATTTAGAACAAAAAAGATGTCAATTTTTATCTAAAAAGATTTAAAAATATTTTGTTTTCAATAAATTAAGATTTTTAAAAAAAATTGATTTAATTCAAAAAAAAAATTCACATTTTTTTTTCAACTCCCAAATAGTAAACCAAAATAGTACTCTCATATAGTACTTTCTAAAAATAGCTCAAATATTTTTTGTCATGTGATGAGCTCTCAACCAATCAAAAGCCAACAATTTTTTGATGCAGGATATAATAACAAATAAAAATCAGTCGAAACTCGGCCAGGCATTCAAGTTAAAAGTCGATATATGTAATGTATAATAATTAAACTACAATGAAACAGTCACTAACGATTTGTTTTGGGCAGTCTCATTTGCAAAATTATTCAATGCTACAAAAATTATCCCGCATTACATAATTAACTCAACCGGGCACTAGGTCGGAGGCACGAAAGTAACAATGGTCAAAAGCACAATTTATGAATGCATACCAAATAGGGCATTTACATCGCCATAATGCTTATTCAAGCATTTTTGTGTCTATATTGACAAAAAAAAAACCCAGCCATGCAGGCCAAAAAATGTTAAAAAGTCGAGTGTATGTAATATATAATAATTAATCTACAATGAAACAGTCACTACCGATTTGCTTTGGGCAGTCTCATTTGCAAAGTTTTCAATGCTACACCAAAAAAATACCCCGCATTACATAATCAACTTAACCGGGCACTAGGTCGGAGGCACAAAAGTAACAATGGTCAAAAGCACAATTTAAGAATGCACACCAAAAAGGGCATTTACATCTCCATAATGCTTATTCAAGCATTTTTGTGTATGTATTGGCAAAAACAAAATCAGCCATGCAGGCCAAAAAATGTTAAAAAGTCGAGTGTATGTAATGTATAATAATTAAACTACAATGAAACAGTCACTACCGATTTGCTTTGGGCAGTCTCATTTGCAAAGTTTTTAATGCTACACCAAAAAATTTCCCCGCATTACATAATCAACTTAACAGGGCACTAGGTCGGAGGCACGAAAGTAACAATGGCCTAAAACACAATTTAAGAATGCATACCAAATAGGGCATTTACATCGCCATAATGCTTATTCAAGCATTTTTGTGTATGTATTGGCAAAAACAAAATCAGCCATGCAGGCCAAAAGATGTTAAAAAGTCGAGTGTATGTAATGTATAATAATTAAACTACAACGAAACAGTCACTACCGATTTGTTTTGGGCAGTCTCATTTGCATTGTTTTCAATGCTACACCAAAAAATACCCCACATTACGTAATCAACTCAACCGGGCACTAGGTCGGAGGCACGAAAGTAACAATGGTCAAAAGCACAATTTAAGAATGCACACCAAAAAGGGCATTTACATCTCCATAATGCTTATTCAAGCATTTTTGTGTATGTATTGGCAAAAACAAAATCAGCCATGCAGGCCAAAAAATGTTAAAAAGTCGAGTGTATGTAATGTATAATAATTAAACTACAATGAAACAGTCACTACCGATTTGCTTTGGGCAGTCTCATTTGCAAAGTTTTTAATGCTACACCAAAAAATTTCCCCGCATTACATAATCAACTTAACCGGGCACTAGGTCGGAGGCACGAAAGTAACAATGGCCTAAAACACAATTTAAGAATGCATACCAAATAGGGCATTTACATCGCCATAATGCTTATTCAAGCATTTTTGTGTATGTATTGACAAAACAAAACCAGCCATGCTGGCCAAGAAAATGTTAAAAAGTCGAGTGTATGTAATGTATAATAATTAAACTACAACGAAACAGTCACTACCGATTTGTTTTGGGCAGTCTCATTTGCATTGTTTTCAATGCTACACCAAAAAATAAGCCCGCATTACATAATCAACTTAACCGGGCACTAGGTCGGAGGCACGAAAGTAACAATGGCCTAAAACACAATTTAAGAATGCATACCAAATAGGGCATTTACATCGCCATAATGCTTAATCAAGCATTTTTGTGTATGTATTAACTAGATAATGATTAATAGTCGACTAGATGTAATATACGATAATAAAATCGAAATAACAAAATTTAAGTTAAATGGTACGTTTCCATTCTTAACAGCGCTTCCTCTTTCCATTTTTCTTTTGACAGAGAATGAAAAAAAAAAAAAACACACACAGCTGATGGGATTTTTTAAAATCTTCTCCGTGAGCATAATGATATGGAAGTCATGGGTAGTTCACGGTACGCGTGAACGCTGATAGGTCATATAATGTGAAATCATGTCCTACGCTGGAAATAAATAGTCCTACTCCCAGAAAAAAACTTATGTAAGGGGAAAGTCACACCGTCACACCAACTCCATACCGATACCAAACTGTCCGGTTCTTGTGATGTAAGCTTTTGTTCGGTCTATTTGCCCTAGAATAGTTTCCGTCTCGTCGTTGTGACTGGGATTTAGGGTGCGTACACCTAAATAGATCCTTTGATTACTGAAGCATAGAGAGTTACACAACTCCTGTCCCTGGTTGACTGTCGGTGTGCGATAACTTAATCATTGGATTCATTTCGTTCGTTTCTTCCCTCGTGTCGACATCGATATTAAAAATGAGCGGCGTCGTATCACTAGGCGTCTGGGATTACGTCCTATTCGCTATCATGCTGGTTATTTCAGCCGCGATCGGAATTTACTCGGCATGTTCCGGAGACCGACAGAGGACGACGGATGAATACTTGTTGGGTAATCGTCAAATGCATGTGGTACCCGTTGCCATGTCCATGATGATTACATATGTATCTGCTATGTCGGTTCTAGGGTTGCCGGGCGAGATATACATGTTTAATACCATGTTTATGTGGAACACCGTAGGCTATGGAATAGGAGCATTAATTTCTTCCCAGATGTTTGTACCTTTGTTCTTTAAATTGGAACTGACAAGTATATATGAGGTATGTATTCAGTTCAGTTTTCTAAAACATGTGTATATAATCAAAAACGCTCCCTTAATAAAACCATACAAAAACAAAGATTCGTTACGAAATCAAGAACGGCCATAAATATGCACCTAATACTCGGGTTAACTATGAACTTATATGGCGGCGAGATGGTCTTCGTGTAATTGGAATGGGAGGGGGAGGCAGCCAACACATCCCACTCGTCTTGTCCTACTCACGGGTATATGATGTCAACAATCCCAGATAATGGGGTGGTATGGGGCAGGGCTCATGTGAAAAATTCCACCATCCCTTTCCCCAAATAATATATGAACTAAACTTTCATTTTCTATTTTTCTAAATTTGTTAATATATTGACATGATGGTCAGTTTCTGCACGCATGGTAAATTGCAAATGGAATCGTGACTTAATCGCTGCCCGAATACGACCACGCTGACGGTTGTCCGTAATTTCAAATTACTGATCGGCTCAGCATTCTGTCTTTGACTTGCCAGAACTCACGATTAACGGTGTTGTCCTGTCTGTTTCAGATGCTGTCCGAGATTTAGGTATCCATCTCGACGAATTCGTGAACATGAATTCACATATCTCAGCTATCAGTAAATGTGTATACTATCATTTACAGAACATTGCAAAATTTCGGAAGTATATTCCTGATTCAGATGGTATCCTAGTCAAACATGCCTTTGTTATATATCGAGTGGAATGTTGCAATATGGTGCTTGCTGGCCTACCCCATCCTTCAGTCTCAAGACTGCAGAGAGTCCTATCAGGAGAGTTATGACAGGAGTAAGGACACGATGATGATGTGAACATGTAATACCACAATCTCAAAAGAACTTCCTCTGTCCGAGAGAATCGAATACAAGCCATAGGCTACCAACAGTTACCAACAGCCGTAACAACAGTGGATATTACTATCATCAATTATTGTTAACATTTTATCCCACTTGTTTCGCTCTCTCGTACAAAATTAGACTCGATATTTTTGGACACATAAGTAGTATAAGGATGTCTATGGAGTCATAACTTTATTATTTGTTTTATGAATTATGAATTATGATATGAAATATGAAATATGTAAATCCATAACGTGTATGAAGTATAGATATGAATATGGATCCATAAATATGCATAAATTATGAATAAATTAAGATTAAAGATATGGATGACGTCACACCAACGACGTCATGGAGATGACGTCATGCTCTATAACCAACCATGACGTCATAGTATTGCGTCAGGATTGCGAAATGGGGGAGGGTCGGCAGGCCTGGACGTGCAGGGACGTGACGGGGCAGGAAAAGGAGTAAAACAAAAGGGGGAAAATCGAGGGAAAAGCTATAAAATGGGGAGAAGAAATGCCCTTTTCATCAAACCAGCGAAGGCATCCACAACTACGAAGAGAAAATTACATCGAGGGTAGACGAATTACAACATGTGTATTACACCTGGACAAAAGTTAGCCGATAGCGAATGGTGCCACGAATTCCAGAAACAGGTGGAAAAGGCGGACTTGCTCATGGTGATCGAATATCTCACGATCATCGAGGTTTTCAAAGACATGGCCAAACATCCCAGCAGTTGGATAGAAGACATGGTGAAGGACAACCCTCAGATGAAAGTCCACCATGCACTACAATACCTGGACCCTCAGAAGGTGGCAAAGTTTTACCCCCATGTGGCGAGAGTGATGTGGTTAAAACCGGAGCTGATGGACCCCGTCCTTTTCACAGAGTACCTCAAATTTCTTCTGAAGGGCGACACCGAGAAGGAGTTGAAAGAAAGGAGGGAAAGAATAGCTCTTCACATCGAGGGAGTGGACTCGGCCGTGCGTACGGTGTACCGTGCCATGGGGGAGGAGACGGGGCTACCGGAGTCAACTTACGTATAGAGGGAGCAGGGAGGCAACTGTTGTCCACGATCATTCAAGGTACGAGCGCAACGCCCTGCTCGGAAACCGATCTTTCAAAACTGAGGGTCCTGTGTCAACGCATTATGATGAGGGAAGATTTTCAACGACTGGATAAGATTGAACTTTACCCCGATGATGATTTCAAGGCGTTTGCACAAATTCTTCTTTCGAATTGCATCGAGGATAAATCGCACGCCAAAATAAGGGAACGGGCCGCCGTTGCTGTATGTTATTTCCTTAACATCCATGACGCCCTCGCCGAAGAGAGTAAACAAGAACTGTTGAACGCTTTCATCAAAGAACTTTGTAAATACGACGTGCCCTGGGTTTTTAAATCCACAAAACCGTGTAAATACCAGTCACTATTTCCTACGGTCGTGTATATATGCATTCTAATTGGTTTTTTAAAATCTCATCGTGTGATCTGATTATCATCGTCAAATTATTATTATTACTATTATTATTAATGTTACTATTAGTACTAGTATTATCATCGATTGTTTCAAAAGATTTTTTCATCAATAAACATAATAATTTAATTATATACAGCACAAACATGCGTCTAAATTGTTATGATGTGTCAGTGATTGTCTTTAAAATAAAGAGTGTGAAACGATGAAAGTCCAGTGATAGCCGTGGTATTGAAAGAGAGAAGACAGAAAGTATGACTTGTTTAGAGGATACCTTACGTAAACTTTATTACGACCCTTCCAACGAGGGTAGTTTTGGCGGTGGTGTGAAATTGTGGAGGTCCTTGAAAAAGAAGAACGGCTTTGAGAAAGTACCCTATGAAACGGTGAAAAAATGGTTAGAAAAACAAGATACTTATACGTTACATGCTCCAGTGAGAAAAAAGTTTGCACGAAATAGAGTGGTGGTGAGAGGAATCGATGACAATTGGGAGGGTGATCTCCTCGATGTCCAGAATTTGAAGAAGTATAACAAAGGGTACCGTTATTTGCTAGTGTGTATTGACGTACTGTCTAAGTATGCGTGGGCCATTCCACTCAAAAACAAGACTGGTAAAACTATAACGGAAGCTTTCAAGCAAATAACGAGCGAAGGACGAGTTCCCGTTATGTTGCATACTGACAAAGGAACTGAATTTTTGAACTCTGAATTCCAAAAGTACCTTAAAGCCCAGGACATATATTTTTTTACCACGGAGAATGAGGTCAAGGGTTCGGTTGTGGAAAGGATGAACAGGACTATTAGGGAAAGGCTCTGGCGCTATTTTACTTTCACAGATTCTTACAAATACATTGATGTTATAGACAAATTAATGAAAAGCTACAACGATACCTTTCATACCAGTATTCGTATGAAGCCCAACGAAGTAAACATTGAGAATCAAAAACAAGTCTTAGATGTTTTGTACGGAAGACAAAGACCCAAGCGTCGTGGTTCAAGAGCCAGTCAAATATTCAAATTTAAAGTAGGCGAGCAGGTCCGTATTAGCAAGAGTAAATTGCGGTTTGATAAGGGTTACAAAGCAAATTGGTCGGATGAAATATTTACCATCAACGCTAGAATAGCAAGACCTATTGTCGTGTATAGGATTAAGGATTACAACGGTAAAGTAATAAGGGGGACCTTCTACGAACGGGAGCTGCAAAGAGTGTCAAAGTCACGGGACGAATTATATACGGTGGAGAAGGTGTTAAAAACGCGCAAGAAAAAGGGGAAAAGGGAGTATCTCATACGGTGGAAAGGTTATGGGAGTGATTTCGATAGTTGGGTAGGCCGTCTTCAAAACCGTTAAAAATAGCTCATTCCTAGTACAGCTATCATTTTGATCTGTGAGGAGGAAAGGAAAGGTTATACATTATGGGTTCACAGTTTTACGTCACATTGCCAAGTAATAGTTCCCTGAGTTATTTTCCAGAAAACAAGACATGTCACTATACCACAAAATTGCACAGACCTCTCACGTTGAGCGAAGATTTTGAAGTTGGCCTGGCCGAAATTCAATTTCAGAATACGTGGTATAATTTGAGAGATGAGCAAAACTGGATAAAGATTTACACCCCCGAAGGGACGTCAGACGTACCCGATCTTTGTTTGACGCATTTGTTAAAAGTGCCCACAGGATTCTACAGTTCAGGGGATGAGTTATGTGAAACCATCAATACCATCCTACCAGAGGTTATCCGTGCTAAGACTGGATTCTTCTACAAAAAAAGATCACGTCGATGTTACGTAGAAATAAGAGAACGGTTGGAAATTGTGATATCTTGCTATCTTGCAAGACTATTGGGATTCGACGGGGAATGCCGGCTTGGAGAAACGACAGAAAGCCCTCTGCCAGTCGATGTACACATGCAGTTTCATACATTCTACGTCTATTCGGATATTGTGCAATCTCAACACGTGGGGGATGCAGCCGTCCCACTCCTCAGAACCATTGCCGTTGTACCCAGCAAACGGCATGAAAATATCGTCAGATATTATACAACCCCTCACTACGTCCCCCTGAAGATTCATCATTTTGAAACCATTGAGATTATATTAACCACTGAAACGGGGGAAGTTGTGCCATTCGAGCGTGGGAAAGTCATTGCGAAACTACATTTTCGTGAGCGCTCTTCGAGTTTACCGTGATATTAAAGAGAGAAAGAAATAATTATGGCGCGTATGAAAAATTTGGGACGAATTATCAACAATACTCCTCTTTACGTGAAGCAGCGTGGTATGGGCATCCCCGTTTTCAGAGGAGCCGTTATGCAACGAGGGCATGGGCTTGGAAGTCTTGTGAGAGGATTGTTTCGAACAGCCAGCCCCCTACTCAAAAAAGGGGCAATGGCGCTGGGAAAAGAAGTTTTAAGCACGGGGATGAATATCATGCAGGACACAATGAGTGGACAATCTTTGAAAAGTGTCGCGAAAAGAAACCTTTCCCAAGCAGGAAAACGACTGGCCAGAAAAGCCCTGGATGGTGCCAGAAAGAAAACACAGGCTGGAGGGGGACGTTTCCTTTTAGTTAAAAGGAAACGGCGAGGGAAGAAAACCATCATTCGAGCCAAGAAGTCCCGTGCGAAAAGACGTCGTCTGGATATTTTTGATTAAATCATTCGTAACCTACTTTTCGTTTATATACACCACCATGGCCCTACTTCATGAAAAAAGTGACATCTGTTGCAAGTCTGAATTGGATCTATTTTCAGTCCCCTACACCCAGATGAGTATTGTAAAAGGCCCATGGGTGGAATACCATCCAGTCAGCAACATAACCGATTCGGGCCCCATTGAATTTAACCTGTCTGGAACAGCGGAAGAGTACATGGACCTTTCACAGACTATGGTTCATGTACTAGCTAAAGTAGTCAACCCCGATAACACGGATCTAGCTGCCGATGCCCCAGTCGGACCTATCAATCTATTTCTACCTTCACTTTTCAGCCAAATAGATGTTAAATTGAACGAGACTCTCGTTTCGCAACCATCAAACACAAATGCTTACAGAGCATTTATAGACGTGTTAACCCACTACGGGAACGATACCATGTCATCTCAGTTGACTCAGCAGCTATTTTACAAGGACAATGCGGGGAAATTAGATGCGGTGAACCCTTTACTGCCTGAGGGAGAAGTGAACCACGGGTTGAAAAAGAGACACGGATTCACGAGTGAGAGTAAAACGGTATCGTTATTAGGGCCTTTGTACGGGGACATCTTTTTCCAAGAGAGGCTCATGCTTCCAGGCGTGGACGTTAACATCAAACTCAATAGAACCAAAGATGCATTTTGCCTCCTCACTTCACATCCTACGTTAAAGTACAAGGTCATGATTGAGAAGGCTACCCTCTACGTTAGAAAAGTGAAAGTCAACCCCTCCGTGATGCTGTCACACGCCAAAGGATTGGAGAGTTCTCCGGCCAAGTATCCCATCAACAAAGTGGACGTGCGTTCCTTCACTATACCCGCTGGAAATATGTCCCTTAATAAAGACAATCTCTTTCTGGGACAGATTCCTAATCGTATTATCATAGGATTTGTGGATAATGACGCTTACAATGGGAGCTATAGGAAAAACCCTTATAACTTTAAGCATTATAATTTGAACTATATTTCGATCACCGTAGATGGAGAGCCCCTGCCCATGAGGCCCATGCGGCCCTGCTTTGAAGAAGGAAAGAGTCAGAATTATATAGAGGCATACAACACGCTCTTTTTGGGGACGAGTCGTTTATTTTCAGACCGTGGAATAGCTATAAATAGGGAAGAATATGCTCAAGGATACACACTGTATGCGTTTGATCTCACCCCTGATTTAAGCGATGGGTGTCATTTGAATTTGATAAAGGAAGGGAACGTTCGTCTTGAAGCAGGATTTGATGTAGCTTTACCCAATACCCTGAACTGTATCGTATACTCTGAATCACAAGGCCTTATTCAGATTGATAGAAGTAGGAACGTCATCAACGATTTCAAAGGTTGAGAACCCTAACACTAGCCCCTCCGAGGACCCTAAGTATTAAGGGGTGACCATGGACACGCTTCAAATTGATCACGTGCTCAAGAATCATCCAGCCACCAAGGATTACTTCGAAGGAGTTTTTGCACTGGACGAAATACCCCGTGTTTTAACAAAGAACAAATACTGTTACATTTTTAATAGCGATACTCGCGACAAACCAGGCTCGCATTGGCTTGCATTTTATTATAACGGTAGCCGAGGTGAATTTTTCGACTCTTACGGGAATTCACCTTCATTCTATAGCCAGGACTTTAAAGAATTCTTGGATAAACATATTAAAACTTGGGACTTTAATACAAAAAGATTCCAGGGAACGTTCTCTACAGTGTGTGGACAGTATTGTATCTATTATTTGATTAAAAGATGCGAAGGAAAGGGACTGAGAAATGTTGCGAATGTCTTTAGTCACGATTTAAATAAAAACGATAGAAAGGTCAACACTTGGTTTAATCAGAAATATAATTCATCATTTCCTACGCATGACTTAAAGTTCACTCTTTCACAGATTGCACAAAGTTTTGAATATCGGGAAGTTAATGCTTAATCATCGCTGTTATTAATATTAATATTATTTATGAGTATTATTTTAGAATTCAAGTTCATCTCTTACTGTCTCTCTCTCTGTCTCTCTCTCTCTCTCTCTCTCTATCTCTTACTGTCTAACTTTCTCACTTTCTCACCTCTCTCTCTCTCTCTCTTTTTCTATCTAACTCTCTCACTCTCTCTCTCTCTCTCTCTACTCATTCAGTCTACCACTCGCTATATCAAATACGCTTTCTTCTGTACTTGCATGTACACAGACATAAGACAATTAAATGCGATAATATACATTGTAAACATGTCTTTTAATAATGAATAAAGAGTTACATCAAATCAATATTTCATTTGTGAAAATGTCTATTTTCTTTCGTGTCTATATACAGCAGGTTTCTTAAGAATTATTTAGTTCTTCTAAATTTACGTTGATTAAGTTAAATTCTTTTAGGGAGAACAATTCTCTACCCTCTAAAAGGCTTCGTGAGATAAAAAATAAATAATCATCTATACTACGATTTAAATAATTCTATATACATTACATAGGTATATCGTTTACTTTTTGAATTTGTTTCATACTAGGATGAATTTACTCCCCCTAAATAGAGTTCACGTATATACACTTACGATTATTCTAAAGCTATATAAACTAACGAGGGAAAAAACACACCATGAAGGACTATTTACATCTCCATGAAATTTAGTCTTACGAACGGAGAAATGAATTGTATCTCTATAATTATATACATACAAAAAAACACTTTAAACATCATCATACAACATAGTCCTAAATATAAAAAGAAATATAAAAAATTACAACTCCTCTACAACTAACAACAAAACGCATACAGAATCTAGTTTGCATTATCATGCGATACTATGCCAGGCTGACATTGGTGTCTATATTAACATATCTATAGATCAATGATTTGCTCAAATGACCGTTTTGCCATTTGGCCGTTTGCCCGTTTTACCACGGGAGTATGGATGACTGAAACCATTACGCATCATCTAAAAATGCATCCACTTTTGGGATAAAGGATCAATGTTAGACTTTCTTTCACGTTCTTTTAGGGGTCTAGTACTATTTACAAATGTACCAGGTCCTGCTCGTGTGGCTACCTTTTCATTACGATCTACCAGACTCTCCTCCTCCTTCTCCTCCTCCATGCCGTCCAGCCGCTTCCATCGTTGAAGGTCTTGTCTTCTTTTAGGGTTACTCAATAAAGTCTCTGGAACATTCATCTCAGCCAGAATCCGCATAAATTGTTCACTACCGCTAGGTACGTAGCCTCGTCGTTCGCGGAAGATGTCGTACATTAAATCACAAAGATTGCTCCCTTTGACGGGTCTCCCATGAATGACAAGTTGACCGGCTGAAGTCCATCCAATGGTAGGATTTATCTTTAACTTTTGAATAAGTTGGTGAGCACGGTTTACGAAAGACTTGGGAATATGTTGTATAATTTCGAGTTCAATGGGATCGGACTGCTCACGGTCCTTCACAGCTGGGCTCTCCACTTCCATCCCGTCTTTGATGTCTAGGGGTTGAACATCTCGAACCTCTATGGGTAAGGGTTTCCTTAAATTGTCCGACGTCTTTAGAAATGTTTGTAAATATTGAGAATACATGGTTGCTTTATCATGAACGTTCAAGTCCTTCCTGTCCAGAATCGTGCGCATCTTCTCGTCAAGTTCATCCAACGGGTGGTGTGTAGACGTAGAGGGACCCCCTTGTAAAGATTGTAGCATGGTGGGTGGAATGAGCACCATTTTACGGGCATGGTCCATGATTCCTGTCCGTTATTATCTCTTACCCGTGAAAGCGTTGGCGATTGCCCCCACAGCTGGGACAACAAGTCTCATTAACAACGGTAGAAGAAAACCTCCGCGTTGATTGAGGAGCTTCTTTCTCTCCCTGAGAGAGGTTCGGCGATCAGAAAGCTTCCTCAGCTTATGTTTGTGTTTGGAGAGTGAACGCTTGTGAGAAGGTGAAAGTTTGATGTTACCGTTTATAACGTTGACGATGCATTCACAGATAGCATCTACGAGTCCTTTGTCGGCTGTTTTCAATAATGCCTGTCGCTGCTTGGCGGTGCAATGGGCCAGGGTCTTGAGAAGAACAGCGTGTGTCCTGACGCGACGGGACATCTTCAGATAATAATGAAGCTCCGGTGTGAAATGTTCATTTATACTTTCGGAATGTAGGTAAACTGCGTTTCTCCCGGGAAGATGTTGGTTCTTAAACGGAAGTTCTCGGGTGTGTCTGGTTTTAGATCGATGAAAAGGTAGCCGTATTTTCCTTTGGTGGCATCGGTGTAAGCTTCTTGAAAATATTTAACACGACCGGGATACATCTGCTTTGCTAAACACGATATTTGCATTTTATCTCTACAATTTTTAAATAAACAATAGTATTGGGTATTGAGTGAAATTGCCCTCGACTCTTTTCCCTTATGAAATAAATTCTGGCTGATATAAATAACACTGGCGTTTCTATGATGACACCCCTTCGTGAACAACGCAGCAACCTTTTTACTATCACCCGCAACATCCATCAGATCATCGATAATAAAGAGCGTGGGTTTCGCATTATCCGTAAATTCATAGAAATCTTCGGGTAAATTTTCGTGAAATTCTATGTTTGGAATAGTATTCATCATCGTGGAATATTCTTTTTGAAATTCACCGTAAAACCATACTATCCTTTGTGGGGTTTGATCAAACATAGAGGGAATAAGTTTCAATAGTTTCCTCACGAAAACAGTTTTACCCGAAAAGGTAGGACCGACAACACACATGGTGAAAGGATGCCTCAGTCGAACATCCATGCTATAAAAATAAATAATGGTTAATAATGACAGAAAAAAACAACACCAAAACAGTCGTAAGTGAACTTAACGTAACTTTACAGTAAGAGATGTGGGTTTGATAATTTCTTATACATTAACAATAATATCATAGAAAATCATTACCTAATACATTCAAATGTAAAAAGAAAAAAATAGAAGACCGCTTAAAAAAAGCGATATCGTTCAGTCTACAGAAAATGAACTACTGAAGCTTTCTTCGGGAAAAGAAGCATTTAAATACGACCACGGCATTGTAGTATTGCCATCGACTTGCCTCACGAGTAATATATCGAGAGAAAAGCTCGCAAAGAAAATAAATACTAAAAGGACAACGATTAGAAAATTCATACGGAATGTATTCTGAGGAATACGCCTGACAAAGTCCCGTCGCATACGGCGAAAATTCGAACTATCCATCTTTAAATAATCTTTGAAAAATAACAACCTCTCCGTGCAAAGGTTTACGGTAAAATGAAATTGAAAGGTCTGAACGAGGGATAAATACCTCATTTTATATTTACTGTATGTCCTCGTGACCGTAGGGCAATGTTTTGACGCCATCATCCCCCACTCGAACCCTTTTAGTGAAAACTACTCTATAATCTTTCTTTCGTTGAACCGTATGAATGGTCTTGGATGCGACATCCCGTACGATTCTGGATTCATGAATCGTTCGTTTGCTATTTTCACTACATTGAATCAGTTCTTTTAACGTGTCATGGTTTATTATTAATGAATTTGCATCGTTCAGGGTAAAACCCCGCACTTTGCACACGGCGTTCCCCTTGTTTGTTTTGTAACTGTAATTCTTAGGACCTGCACAGACCCATGTATCGATAAATTCTTCATGAGCAGGGTCAATTTCATCGGTTAAATCACCTAGATAATTACCCGTCTTGGGATCAAAGGGTTCGAGCGAAGGGTTCGTCCTAAATACTATACTGTCTGTATCATGGTATAACACTCTGTCATCCAGCTTCTCAAGAACCGAATATAGTTTCAGCCTTGCCATAGCTGTAGTGAAACTAGCGATGATGACGTTGGTATTCACATTCTGGTCTACGAAACCTTCGGCATTGGTGAAATTGAGCTGTAACAGCTCGTTAAGAACGAGAATATCATGTACTATCACCGTTTCGTCATTTAATTGTTTCAGCAATTCTGCCGCGGTACTCAAATAGAGGGTCTGTCTTAGATTATTACGTTGGGCGAACTTCCCCCAAAGGACATTGATGATCATTTTAGCGATAGCACGAAGACCGGGATTTTTCATTATTTTCTTAGGGTCCAGTAAGATTCCTTCGTGCTCGTAATACTCTTTAACATATTGTTCTCGTTCAGCGGGTGTCTTAGCATCGACGGGATATCCCGACGCCTCCTGTTTCAATTTCATGACAGCCTCGATATAGCCCGTAAAAAGTCCTCCTGAGTGCATTTCTTCATTGTATTGGGAGTAACGATCAAACTGCCACACCTCGGTTATTTTCAAATCATAATAACCCTTTTCCAAAGCTTTTTTCAGCTCTTCGGATACCCACACGCCTTTCAGTTTCCGCTCGCTGTCTGAATGCGTACATTGTTTTTGGTTGAGCGCATCTGCGCATGCGCCACACAGAGGGAAGGTTAGCTTGTCGGAGGAACGGTATGGGAGGACGGGATGGTATAGGTTTCTAGGAGGAGTTATCTCGCACTGGATGAGGCCAAAGATTTGATCGACAGGTGGGAAATTTGAATGTAGAATTCTCGGATGACCGACTGGATATTTCCCAAACTTATTAATGTAGGGGTAGAGACTCGTGAAATCGTAATATAATATTTGTTCGTCCGGTTGAGCTTTGTAATACAAAGAGCAACCGTCGGTACGACCCCCAAAAAATGAATCCCTTGGGTTTAGTGGATTTTTGAAAGTTTCTTTTAGATCTTCAATTATAGGCATCACCGTTGGCTCAATCCTCTCCCTATTCCAGTCGTGTTCCCATACCGTGGTCACGTTGTAGCCTGCATTCTCCAAAAGTTGTACCCTATGCATTGCCTCGTTGTATAGTACTCCCATTTTTTTATTACAACGCCGATTGACGGTATCGGATTTATAGCACACTTCACATCCATGAAAGTAACACCCTAAAAATTCAAAGATGTGTTTCTCATCCCCTACCTCTGCGTAGCCATCGACATAGCGCCCGTGAACTTTACGCTCGCCGCCATTGAAAGCATGCCGTATTTCTATCCCTAACTCTTGGGCCTTGTAATGCAACCATTCCCCCGCTTTGACCGAATGGCGCTTAGGATTGGTGTATCCATCGGAGGGGATGAGCGCGATGGTGTCTGGTTTTAAATAATTTGTGCGAAAGAGGAGGTTGCATGCACTCGGCAGAGTGAGACACCGTAGAAAGGGGTCTATACCCTCCTCATTCGTTTTGGTTTTACTGATTTCTTTGAAGTGTTTCCTGAATATTTTGCAGCTCTTATGTAAAATGTTAACATCACTTTCACAGTACTCTTTAATTTCATGCTGGAAATTAAAGACGTAGTCTTTGGGCATGCTGTCGTACCATTCATTGAACTCCTGGAGGACATTTTTCATCATACTATTTGTACCGTAGTACTTTTTGTCTGGGAGGGGACCTACATAGTTTTCATTTTCCTCTTTATTGAACAAATGAGGGAAGAAACCTTTTTTCATTCCTTCGATGCCAAACGTTTTGGGTAATTTTGCTAGCCCCATCTGAAAGAAATTGAGACTGTCTTTGACGACGATTTGAGGGTCTTTTGTACGTAGGCTCATGATCTTCCCCCCATTCATGATCACTTCAGGGATGATCCCTTGACTAATCAAATGATTGAGGAGAAAATAAGAGTCGTACGCCTTGCTGTTGTGTGCAATGGCCACGGCACCAGCGTGACTTTCGGAAAATAGCCAATCACAAAATTTGTCTAAAGTGTCCTTCCCTTGAAAAGTTATCCCCCTCTTCCCATGACGGTCACAAAATGGACAATGGTTATCCCCAGATTGAAGGGTTGGACCATCCATACAATTGGTACATTCCCACGTAGCGTGGACGAGATTGGGAACATGCGATCCCGTGTTTTGGGTACACTCAAAGTCAAAAAAGATGTAAAGTTGACCCGGGTCGGGTATCTCATGTTCCTCCGCAGACTTTTTGTCTTTGGATTTTTGTTTCTTTTTTAGTTTCTTCTTCTTCATGTTCGCAAATATTTCCATCATTGTTGCTTCTTTCTCGGAAGGAACGTAATAGGGGCTCTCTTTTGTCACTTTCATATAACAGTCATGGGTGGGGCCATCTACATAGTCTTTACATGTTCTGCAAAATATTTGGGAACACTCGTGATCATCCACCCTCCCATGGAATACATCTTTATCAAATACGCGCTCGCATTTTGGGCATTTGTTTTTGGTATTGCAAGCCGTAGAGTTGTTGAAGGGGGTAACGCTATGCAACTGAAAGCAGCGCTCCGTTAGAAAGGTCATATGACATTCTAAACATGTGCGAGGTGAGCGCTTGGCTCGATCGTTACGATCGCAATCATCGGAAAAGCAATCAGGACACGTTTCACAACATTCGTGATACCGAGGGTCATTGAATACTTCTAAACATTTCTTACAATAGTTCTTAGCACACAGAAATGCCGACATGTTTTTAATGACATTGTAATGCGACGATTCTGTCAGATACAAGTACAACGTTTTTTCAGCGGGGGGACCGGCATATATCATCGCGTGTCTTTTGCGACCTCTATAGATGACTAACCTATACTCGGGGTGTAATACCTCTTGAAATCTGGCATAATGCGTGGAATCCACTTCACCTACTTCAACACCCGCCAGTTCATGGAGTTTTGCAGCTTCCTTTTGCAATCTCGCTGTTGGTTCTCTGTCGGTGCGAGACCATTGCTTGTATTTAATATTGTTATTTGCATAATACCTCGCAATAACTAGCGCATTCGCAAAGCAGGTTTTGTCCGCCTTACTCGAGGGTATGGTGATGATGGACCTTTTACGAAGGGATGCCTCACCATCTCTCAAACCATCCATTTTACGTACATAGCCACCCACGGGGTTGAGGACATGATGGAACCTGATTGTGAAACCAGGTTTCAAAATAAAGTCTTGATTGCTATTCAGGACACGCTCTATGCGTTCGAGAATAGCGTTAATGTCAAAGTCCTTAATCATAGCCCATGGAAACCCAATCGGAACGTTCAACTGCTCAGACACTAATACTAATCGTACAAAATCCCTTTCCGATGTATCTCTCAAAAGAAGGGTTCTCAATTCATCGAGGGAAGATTCGATGTAATAAAGGACATCACAGATCGAAGTACAATTTTGAATGTCACCCACAAAATCGTACCAGGATTCACGAACCCCAAACCGTTTTGAAATCCGAGAATCAACAAATTGCCATCTGGGTGCGTTTAATAATTCTTCGTCCTCAATGGAGGAGTCTTCATGAACAATGTTTGGACCGGATGACTCATCATTTTGAAGGTCATTAGTGGGTAGATGATTTGACTTTGTTTTACGTTTACCACCCTTTGTTTTATCAATCGTCTCTGGATTAGAATTTATTTTCATACCACCCCTTTGAACAGTTCTTGTTGATTCTCGGATTTGAATTTCAGCTTCTTCCTCCTCGTCCGATGAGAAAAAATAATTGACATGGGGTGGAGGTACATGGCTCGAAACATAATCTGTACCGGGACCCGTATGGTGGGCAGGGGCTGGAATATCCCAGTCAGCATTGAACCTAGCCCGTTCACCCTCTACGTTTGAACGTTCCGGCTGGATTTCTATGGGCTGTGGTGAATCAAGGACCTTACGCTTTGAACGCTTTAGTCTATTGGTTTTGTTTTTTGTTTTGGTACTCAATTTAGACTTTTTTGATTTTGAATCGCAAACCTTTTTGAAAGAGGGAGCTTGGCGCCGCTTTTGACCTCTACCCGTCTTGGGATTTGTAATAACAAAATCCTCATCATCGGACCAATTCCTATTTTCGATATCGGAAGCTGCATGAACTCCATGGCTAGCGAGGTTACACTTAGTACCCACATCTCTTACTAAAGTATTTGAAGTTACGTTAGGTTCACTTACCGTTGCTGATGTTGCTGCATTATCTTCCGTTGAAGGATGTATTGCGGGTGAACGTTGAGCAAGACCTCGAACCCCATCAATGGTTCTGTTAACTACAGGTTGTATTTGGGAGGGAGTAAAGTTGTATAAAGTGGTGAGTATATTTTCAAGATTTTCTCGAAGTAGGTTGCTGCGTTGCGTCGACGATTGGGGCGTTAGATCAGCCATTCTAACTCTACAGATGTAATGGTTTCAGTCACCCCTCATAACCCAACCCAAGAGTTGAAAAATATGAGTGGTTAGATGCTATATTTTAGGGGGTATTTATACCTAAAACTCCACACAAGATTCTTTAGAGGGTCTAAGTGTATAAACAGTTCAATGTTTATACCACTGATAGAGGCATTACGCCTTCATTTTCAAGTTCAAGTGGTCAATATTTATGCCAAGGATAGAGGCAGTGCGGCTTCATTTTAAAAATGTCTTAATGGAGTTCTATTTGGATTTTATCGCTGAAGACAATAGTACTTTGTCTAGGTCTATTAACTCGGGAGGGCTTCTTGAGGGTTTCTTCATCCTCCCGCCTCCCCTCTGAAACAATAGTTGTTGACACGCCTCGGTCTTGGAGAAACTGTGATTCATCCTCTAAGGGTAATCAACCATGTTTACGCAGATAGAGGCATCACGGGTTCCTTTTCAAGTTCAAGTGGTCAATATTTATGCCAAGGATAGAGGCAGTGCGGCTTCATTTTAAAAATGTCTTAATGGAGTTCTATTTGGATTTTATCGCTGAAGACAATAGTACTTTGGCTAGGTCTATTAACTCGGGAGGGCTTCTTGAGGGTTTCTTCATCCTCCCGCCTCCCCTCTGAAACAATAGTTGTTGACACGCCTCGGTCTTGGAGAAACTGTGATTCATCCTCTAATGGTAATCAACCATGTTTACGCAGATAGTGGCATCACGGGTTCCTTTTCAACTTCAACTGGTCAATATTTATGCCAAGGATAGAGGCAGTGCGGCTTCATTTTAAAAATGTCTTAATGGAGTTCTATTTGGATTTTATCGTTGAAGACAATAGTACTTTGGCTAGGTCTATTAACTCGGGAGGGCTTCTTGAGGGTTTCTTCATCCTCCCGCCTCCCCTCTGAAACAATAATTGTTGACACGCCCCGGTCTTGAAGGGGTAGGGATTTATCATTGATAATGAAGTATGTTTACGAAGGGTGATACGACTTGATGACTGGTCTTTATTCTAGTGATTGGGGTTTGGTAAAATATTGGTCGGATTTTACACTCACTCTAATAACCCTTACATTTTCCTTGTACCGCCTTGTGGACGTTTAGTCTTTCCCTGCACAATGCTTGGAATTCTGCCATGGTCAAAGTCAACCCCTTTTTGGTTGGTAGGATTTCTTTGTTTTTCACAAAATATTCTCTGACATCCACGTACACGCGTTTACGGAATGTCTTTACCACGAGATATTTTGGACGGTCCTTCTTCAAGCTGATTGGGCATTTGAAGAGCACTTCCGATTCCACGTCGTCGTCTTTGTCTTCTGGTTTTACAGTCCAGCCCATCTTTACCTCCTCGTCTTTTCCAGCGTGGTAGGGGTTGGATGATTTCAGCTTTCTGTCAGAGGGCTCCGCCCCTTCTTTTTGCTGATCGTTTTCTCTATCCTGGTTTCGGTAATGCTGTGTTTCCGTGTAGGCTTGTTCATCGGCTATAAACAAAGGATTTTCAGAATACATCGAATCTGCCTCGTGTCGATCTTCTCCTCTCCTGTCTGGGGGCGACACTAGGGGTGTGTCATAGGTGTTATTATAATATCCAGCCATAATGCGTCTCCCCTCGTTGTAATTCGTCTACCCTCGATGTAATTTTCTCTTCGTAGTTGTGGATGCCTTCGCTGGTTTGATGAAAAGGGCATTTCTTCTCCCCATTTTATAGCTTTTCCCTCGATTTTCCCCCTTTTGTTTTACTCCTTTTCCTGCCCCGTCACGTCCCTGCACGTCCAGGCCTGCCGACCCTCCCCCATTTCGCAATCCTGACGCAATACTATGACGTCATGGTTGGTTATAGAGCATGACGTCATCTCCATGACGTCATGTTCATGACGTCGTTGGTGTGACGTCATCCATGTCTTTAATCTTAATTTATTCATAATTTATGCATATTTATGGATCCATATTCATATCTATACTTCATACACGTTATGGATTTACATATTTCATATTTCATATCATAATTCATAATTCATAAAACAAATAATAAAGTTATGACTCCATAGACATCCTTATACTACTCACATATGATTTCATTAAAAGAGGGGGAAAAAATGGGGACAAAATTATACTAAAATAAAAATAGTAACTTTTACAATGGATCCTGAAGTTGTCTCTCATCTACGAAGAGAACGTGAGTGACAAAGTTATTCTGACTGAAACTGTAACTTTGTCTATAAGACTTAGCATCATGGTTATTTTATTTCTCCATTTTTTTATCTGTTAATTGGAGAAAGATTTCTCAGAGGTTATAGGGATATGGTAGATGAAGAAAACTGTATTTATGCTGGGGATGTAGATCTTCCAAGGTAATTGTCGCACATGTCTTCTTATAAATGAATAAATATGGAAATGGAATGATTGAAAGTGCAGCTGCATGCTTGAATTCTTTAGAAGCAGTGTTCGGAATTGATTCTTTTTCACTTTTTTTCCTGCTAGGTTGCAGTCGCCTGTATGGCAATAACAGCACCATTAAAAAGGAATGTTTGCATATAATGATATACAGCATCTCTCTTCATTTATATATCTCTGTGCCTCTCCATTCTACTCCTCTCTGCATTCATAGACAGCAATGAATGCTGTTGCAGTTGTTATGTAAAGATATGGGAATTCTCGTTAATTTACAGGTTTTGTGTTCAAACAGATTTGGTAATTCGTTTTAATAGAGAGAGGGAGTGAAGGAGTACGTTGTCTTATACCCCATTCACAGTGGCCTCAAACACCGCGACAGCAGCGGGACTGTCCCGCTGCTGTCGCGGTCTTGTCTTCAGTGTGAAGGCTCGGACCCGTTATAAACTATCGCGGGATAACACCGCCTCGCGATAACGCCGCGACAAACTATCGCTAGGTTCGCCTAGCTACAGCAGCGGGACAGTCCCGCTGCTGTCGCGGTGTTTACTCAGTGTGAAGGCTCTCCTCTATAACACCGCGACAAACACGTGTGATTTGTTTACTTACCTATCACTGACCTCTTTTCTCCAGCAATGGGGAACATAAAGTGAAATAGAAATAAAGTAACCAGTGGATTCAAATTGATTTTATTATTATGTAGATATTATAATTATCCAAATAAAAATATTTCACACTTCAAAAAATTAAAATATTCTGACTGGAAGCAACAAAAATGCTAGTTTTTTAAAAAGTAATATGATAAAACCCCGCGCTGAAGTATTTCCGGTCATATCGGGTCACTCGCGGGTCATGAGCCATGCATACACGTGTTTGTTACGGAGGTAATAAAAATCACCCGCTGCAGCGTGAATGGGTACATGATATTTATCCCGCTGCTGCAGCGGGATAACTTTTCTACTGTGAATGCATTTGTAGCGGTGTTATGGCGGTGTCGCCGCTCCGCTACAACGCCGCTACAAATTTCAAAACCACTGTGAATGGGGTATAAGACGGACTTAATGATTTAAGGATTTAATATATGAAATGGATTGTATAGGATCCCCTATGGACAGGCCCGGAGCCAGAGTTTGATGTTGGGGGGGGGGGGGGGGGGGAGGCACATACATGTAATCGATCGAGGTTAAAAAAAAGGTCTAAAAAGTTCAACCGATCTTGGAAAAATTGTTGGGGGGGGGCACGTGACCCTCATGCACCCCCCCCCCCCCCCCCCCGTGGCCACGTGCCTGCCTGTGGAGGACCTTAAGTCATTCGAATTCCCGTTGTATGTCGTTCTAGGCATAGAATAGAAAACGAAATACGTAGGGAATGGGCAGGCAATTTTGTTTTTTTCTTATAATACGTCCAATTCATGGGGAGTATATAGCTATTCCTTTTAAAGGCACAGCCCAGTAAATATAGCTGAAAATAGACAATGTAGGTGACGTTTTTACCTTAGATTTGACACTTTACAAATATGATACTACTGTTGCATCGATATATGAGCCAAATACAGACAATCCAGGATTTTTTTTGTTGCTGAGCTTCAATAAATTATAACAAAACGTGAAATTCCGCAAACCATTATTTGAGGGGATTGGACTTAAGTACAAGATTCAATTCTTGATACATGTCATTAGGGACTTTTAGATTTGCGTGGACTGATACGTGTGACGTCCATTCAAGGCAGTGCATTACAATTACGTCGATCGTAGCAATCCACGTTGTCGTTCGACAATTCTAAAAGTCCCTATTATCTCCATGTTAACAACCCTCGAGCAAAATAGCGGGTTAATAAAAGGAAGAATGAATAGATTCATGCGATCATCCATGAAGAATTACATTTCCAGCTAAAAGATCTTACGTGGCGTCTACCAAACCCTTTGAAAAAAAAGCAGATTAGACATCTGTTTGATATCTTTAGAACGTCTGAGCTTCATCAAATAAAGCGAGGTCCCTGTTATTGAAAATTCAATAATTCTTTGTAAAAACGATGGCTTCATTTCACAAAATAATCAAGAAAACAATTAAAAAGACGTTTTTGCTGTACGCAAAAAATACGATAGATTTTGATGAAAAATTATTGAATAGTTGGTGATTGTGAATTTAACATAACAGATCAATTATTTTTCTAAACTTTGATGATGATAAAGAAGCGATATCATATGCTTCCTTTCTAAAGAAACAAGGTGTACACAGGGAACAAGAATTAGAAAACAAAATTAAAGAGTTAAAAATAAAGTTGGTAATAAACCATGATGAGCCTTATTAAAGGAAATTGACGAAAGGAAATTAGAATTAGAAACTTTCCGCTTAAAACAGAATGAAGGTAAAAACCTCAATTTTTCTGAATTTGGAAAAACAGAAAAAAGTTAATAGAAAATGCATAAATGATAATTAAACATAAAATGGTGATGTCGTTAGTGAACAAAGTGCATTACTTAAAGAGGTGTTTAATTTGTATTAGGTATTGATGAAGTTTACTATATCAAAACATATGAAAACAATAAATCCCCTGGGTAGATGGCTTTACTGTAGAATTCTACCGTTTCTTTTGGGGAGATATGAAATATTTCAAGTCATATTGAAGTCATTGAACCATACTTATTTTACAGGACATCTACAAATATTTTTTTCCGCTGATGGATGGCAGGGAAATTCATCATAATCACGATTTTAAACACTACAAAGCTAATCATAACACAATTCGCCATGATGTTTCTCTTCTTATGCAGTACTTGGAACTCCGTTTCAACAAGACCATACGTGTTGTTAACATGCTTATATTCTTCTTTCAAACGGTACGTATTCATACTTATTATTAATATTCACTGTTATTTTAAATCATGGCAAATATCTGATCACCGATACATACATATTTTTAGGTAGCACATAATATTTGATAATAATTAGAAAACATAATGTACGAGTTACTTTGAGGGGGGATGTGATAGACATATTATGTTGGAAGTATAGCTAACCTCTATTAACAAATGAAATTATCTGTGTCTATTTCCTTTTCAATTTGAAGTGAACAAGCAGCTAATATCATACGATTGTTCCGAACGTGTAATCGGCTCATGAATCTATTTGGTATAATGATAATTGATATGATCCAGATGTTGCGGTACCAAATGGGACTCGTAGTTTCTTTTAAAAGTAAGCTTAAACCATCTTTTATCAGAGATGTAATTTATTAGGGTTTACAGTGTATAACTACACGAAACATAAATGTCATGAATATTTGTTACATTATTGGATTGGCGACAAAATAAATATTGCTATATAAAGGCTACTGCTTTCATTTCTCCTTTTCTATTCCTATACGTTCTATTTTCATTAAATCATATATTATAAAACTGATCCGGTGAATAGTATGCTATATTCAATCAGTTATGTATTTATTAAGTTTGTTGATAATATGCCTTTATTTTGTGTCGCTAAAAAGATGTAATAAGATTGCAAAGAAAAAAACAGATTGTCTAGAAGTAATTAGGAAAGGTCGATTACGCAGTAGTCAGGAGGAATTGGTGTATACTGTGAGGTTTTGGAATCATCAGTTCGTTACGAAATTGTTTCTTTCTTGATGAAAAGCACTGCACTTCATCTAGATATAATTTGTTATAATAGATGTGGGTATATAGGACTACAGTCTACAAGCACACACAAAACAAAAAAACACTCACACACTCACATGAACCCGCGTGCACACACATAACATGACTGTTGGTCCAGACACTTCAGCTACTTCTCCTCATATTTTGAACATGAAGGCATTAGAAGAAGAAAAAAATCATCTTTTTCAGGGGATATTTCTATTATGTCTATTTTTCAAACTGACCCCGAAAAGAACAGGAAAGCTCACAAATGAGTATTTAATCTTTACCAAAAGACAACCTTCTCTTTAGCCCAAACATGCTTATGGTAAAATGGAGGAAAGTAAAATTCTCACAGAATCAAACGATACTAACACTGGATGCTCAAGACTTTGGTAACAACAAATACTAGCTTTGTCGTGTCGAGAGAAATTGAGGTTGCCGTCCCTTAAATTGTCAATTATTAAACAAGTCTTTTGTATGGAAGTATGATCTTGATGGTTTTCAGTGAACGTGCTCAAACGAATCTTTTTAGTAAGTTCGTTTATATTTTGTTGGTTCAAAAAGGCAATCTACTGAAATCAATGAAATTAAGGAAAATGTGTACTGTAAAATGTTTTTACACCTAGGCACATCGCACAACATGTAGGCCCTACTTTCTCTCCACATAAAAAGACTCTCACCAGTACTCCATCCCCTACCCGCATTCGTGCAGGTTTTTCTTAGCACTAATAGTAGGCCTAGGTCATTTCCCCGATAAACTTTCAGTTATCTCCTAAATAATGTAACTTGCCTGGGCATTTTGACCAGGTCAAACAACCACTGTGGCGGGTGAAACGTGGCGTGAGAAAAATCTCACAGACTGACAGACTGGAATTGTGGAAAAACATCGATATCATATAAACACTCTAAAATTACACAAGGGCAGGCTAATTTCTGTGTAGGTGTAAATCAAGAAGTGTGTGACTCATAATTTGCAAAAATTTACAGAGGACAACCACTAGATTTTTATATGAATTTCTTTCATGAAGTTTCTCCACCTCGCAGGCATGCAATACGATCTGAGGAAAGTAAGCCTACTACTGTCATGAGTGCACACCCACATAACCGAACAAGGTTTTGACCCTAACTGGCATTCAACGCCGTGAACTCATATACGAGATTCTTTGTCAATGCCATCAACCGCATTCATTCATTATCCGTTAAACCGCATTTTGTTCATTATCCGTTAAAAAAACTACACGGACCCATAAGACCCATGAGGGGGTCGTGCATGAACTAGCAATTGATTTTATTCGAGGTCATTGCTTCCTACTTTGCAGGCACGAACCCTTGCCAGTCCTTGTGCGTAACAGTGTCTGCAAAACGAGACTAAATTAGGCTCCGTCGTTTGACACAGCCAGCAACTGGCAGATCTATGCTCAAGGCTTTAGGAATTGTCACAAAGTGTCATATTAGAGTCTGTATTTGCAGGGCATAAAGCTTTCCAAGAAAACTAGTATATTTAACAATCGGTCATTGTCTCTGTCCCTTTTCTCTTCTTGAACACCCAGTAGATATTGTCCTGTTTTGTCTGTAAAATAAAGCGGCACAACTTTGTAACTATTATTTTTTTTTACAGCTTTTCTACATGGGAATGGTAATTTACACGCCAGCCCTCGCCCTGAACGCAGGTAATTATTGTGTTGATCGAATTAATAAATTGATCATTCTGCAACTTGAGGATTGCAAGAATGGTACACATTTATTTACATTAATTTATATTTTTGATTAAAATGTTCAATATGGGTATGCTCTATAATTGTTTAAAAAAAAAAAAGCCTAATTAACAAAAAATGTATTATCTTCGAACATGTGAAGTCAATTTTATTGCCAATCGCTTGAAAATGTCATTAACAAAATTATCCGATTGCGTGAACTTTCACAATTGTGCATTGCTATTGCAAATTCAAAATTATTTAGGCCTGTATACAGTCATATACATATATATATATATATATATATATATATATATATATATATATATATATATATATACATGTGCTATACCGGACTGTCCTATGTATTGTAATGATGTACGACGTTGTAAATGAAAAGAGAAAGAAATCCAAAATGTAAGAGTTAAAATATCAGTAACTTGGAATTCTTGCTGTCGAGCTCTTTATCATGCAAACAGGTGCTAAAACAAACACTTATCCCATAATCACCCGTTTGGTCGTGATATTACAAATAATGTTCTTATTTAACTAAAGTGTAGTAAACTATGTTTAGAAACTTTGCTTTTTCATGATAAAGCCTTTACTTTGGGTACTTTAAGTAAATGCGCCGTTCCTTTCACTTTTTAACACTTTGAGGTTAATGAGTAACCCATTAGTTTCCTTGTTACTTTCCAAGGCATTAGTCTGTTATAGATAAATCAATGACCAGAACCTTTTATGGCCCAGTAATGTAAAAACACAAGAAGTTTGCAAACTGTTCAATCATTGCTGTAAAGAACCATACGGGCATCTTTCTCATTAACTATTGCCCTTCATCCGGGTAACGGGCAATTGTCGGGCATGTATAAAATCACGACTCCAATTTCGACTAGTCAGATGACTAGATTTATTCAACATACTAAAGAGAGGTATATAACAGTTTTTAATACCCTGTTGTATTGCCTAAGGAAATCATATTCGGACCGATCATTTAAAAGGGTGACGCACATGGCTATTGAAATAGTAATTGATTTCACGAAAGTCTTTGCAATTGTGCTACTTACCACTTCCTTCCAAACAATCTGATGTTTACATTGAACGTATAAATTGTCAATTGATATCTAGAAAATGTTCCTGGGCACACATTGCTTAAGGACTCAGTGGACGCAAGTTGTGAAAAATGTATGTTAACGTAAGAGAAAATTTACGAAATGGTAATAACAAGATGAAAGTGATAGAATTATTGAAATATGAAGTGAAAAAATAGATAAACATGTTTAGGTCATCACATCTCTTCTCTCTCAACATTTATCGAACAGTTTTCACAAATAATTCAAAAGGTCGATATTTAGGATAAGATTGGCTTAGTCTGTATTTGAATGCCAGGGCGCCGTCATATAAAGAATTGATATTAACCGCTACGTATAATTTATATGCGACTGGCGATTGATATAAATCGTATCTATGTACATAACAGATAGGAGATAAGGAGAATGCAAACTTGCGATTGATTGGAGGACTTGCGATGATTAGGATCAATCGCAACTCATTAGTAAGACACGGAACCTTGACTATTGAATCGTGATTTGGTCTAATTAATGAACATGATTACTTTTATTTTGAGTTGGAAACCCAAATTCATTAAAAATCATTCTTGTGACCCGCTGCAAGGCCCACACATTACTCCCTGCGTGAATTTAATAGCATGATATTTGTCTTCCAATATATTTTAAAATTGCAGCGACTGGAATGAGTCTTTCCGTGAGTATCTTCTCGACAGGAATTGTCTGCATCTTCTATACGACGATCGTAAGTAGGAAGGCATTGTCGTTTCCATATTTTGATTAAGAGATTGTTCTGACCCCTCCAAAGATTCCCGACCTTACAGTGTTAACGACTTTACTAAAATTCTTCTAAAAGTAAACAATATTTCGATTTTTAGTCTTCAAGAATAGTACCTGACATGAATATAGGAATAATCATATGAAGTGTAATTTATTTCATGAGAAATCCTTAGATTTGGTCACTTTTTGTTACGAAATCATTTCCTCCAATCGTAGAAGTGCGAAATGTTAAAAACCCTGAGTCAAAGGCAAGGCAGCATTATGACTAATAATTGTAGGAATCTCAACACCCCACCTCCACTCTATTCCTGATAGATATTCCCTCTTATCATCCGAAGCTTGTGATGTTCATGAGATAAAAAGAAGGAACGTCATATCCATTAAAAGTCATCTTCAATTATTTATGATCAGGGTGGACTCAAAGCAGTATTATGGACCGATACGTTCCAGACCTTCGTGATGGTTGCCGGGATCATTGCCATCATCATCGCTGGGTCCTTAGAGCTCGGCGGTTTCGATGAGGTCTGGGCAAAGGCCACGGAGGGCGGTAGAATAGTTTTCTTTGAGTGAGTATGATGTTTAGTTTATGATTGCTGTTGTTATTTAATGTAATGCATGTGTAAGTAGGTACCTGTGTACTGGATGGCGATCGAGCACGATGGAACTAATAATTGCGCTCGTGTGTCTGTGCGTGTGTGCGACTGTGCGTGTGTGCGTGTGCTCGCGCGTGCGCGTATGAGAGAGATCTTCTTTTGTTTAGGTTCAAATGTGAAATATGGCCAGCTTTAATAGGTGTCACACCAGCAGTACCTGAAAGGAAAGTCCCAAATAGGCAAATCACATTGATCTATTTCCACACATAATACTAATATTCAAACACGTGTAACGTAAGAACTTTTTGGAACACACAAGGTAATGGGCTGGGTATGAAAGTGTACACTTATATCGGAGATAGCAAGCCCGACCCCACCAGACTAAAATATATGTTGAGATGTATGATAAAATAGTTTCGTTTTGGAATATTAATGATTAAATAGGGGGAAATATTTAAGAGTAGTGCTCTGTACAGCGACAGAATAGAGCTTAATCGGGATTTATATTTCTTTCTGTTCTTAAGGTCATCAATTCCTGATAAAAGATTGGAAACACTTGTCACCTCTTTAAAAGAACACTCCATAGAATTCCCTCAACGAAAATAAACCCACAAATCCATTCATAATATCTTTGTATTTAAATTGTTTTCAGAATGTGTGAATCAAAGGATATTTTAATTAAAAAAAAAAAACAGCATGAGCAGTGTGAAAGGTCATGCAACACACATATGGAAACGTTTGCTTGTATATGTCTCATAAAAGAATTTGACCACAAACTGACTCCCACACGGTGTTGAGTGCTCAGGGGTCACATGCCACTGGCTTCATCGGGCAGGTAGTTCCATTATGTGAATAGGTAAATTAACTATTACAAAATGAGGGGACACATCACATTGTACAATAGGGACACACATTGTTTTATTGTGCAGAACATACTCTTTCATTGACTTACTTATTGCATTAAACTATAAACCATAATGCATTTTGTATTCTAACAATTGGAGTACAAAGAATAATAACAGGTGAATGAAATGCATTAAACATCACAAACACCTGGGGAGGAAGCATTCATAAATTTGAATACATATAGTTGATAAATGACTCCGATGAAACTATAAAACCAAAATGAAATTTGCGTTCTGGCAATTGGAGTACAAAGAATGATAGCAGGTTAATAAAATGCTTCAACAGCAACACAAACACCTGGGAAGCTAGGAAGCATCCATAAATTTGAATAATTTAGTTGATAAACGACTCCGCATGTGAACGTTTGTTGGAGCAGAAAGCAGTGGATTCTTAACGACACGAACCCATTTAACAGAATGTCGGAACGTAAATTAAATTTGGCGCGGTTGGAAATGCATCTTTCTACCCTGCGACTTTAATGGTACGATCCAGTAAATTAAAACAGTAAAATGGCTCTTATTTCAAAATTACTCATTAAATAAAACCCAAAACTTCAGTGATATCAGAAAAAATATATTATATCTTACTAATAATTAAAAAAAGATAAACATTGTGAAAGTGTTGCATTTTACGATAAAAGACGCCGATTTAGCGAAGATGACCTCATTAGTGCGCTTGCATCAGGGAATTCAAGGTCAAAAGGTCAATTCAGACGCTGATAAGTTATTGGCCGGGCCTTTTTGTTTCCTTTATTCCGACATAATTATACAATCAATCAAAACAAATTTAATACCAGAAGAAAGCTAACGATTAGTATTTTCATTAACCGCTTGCCCCAAAGTCGCTTGACCACATTGAAACGAGTGAGAGCTTGCGAGAACGGCCAAAGTGTGATTGAAACTCGCTATTTGTTATTCTTCAACGCAAAAGGAGACGACATTGTGCTGGATAAATGTATTTTTTCCGACGAAAGTACAGAATATTTGCATATGGTCTTTTTATATTATACTTAATGAAATGTTACCCGAGTGACTTCCGGGCGCCCCAATGCTGGAAAGAAACGCATATTTTAGAAAACTTCACTTTTTCATGGAAAAATGCTTATTCGTTCTATGCACGCAAGTCAGATTGAGCGGATGATACAACGTTTCCATATGATGACACAGCACGTGTTATCACATCTTCAAAAGCACACTCAATTATAGATATGCATCGACATGCGGAAGGACGGCGGAACACTCGTTGTTTGATAATTATTTACACTCTCTGTACACGCAGGATTTCAATCAAAGTCCTTCAGACCTTAAGCCTCGGTCACAAATGCCATAACGAACTGCTACGCACGCCGTACGAACGATTTTCATACAATAGAAATTCGGGAAGACAATGGAAAAAACAGGGAGATTCGTACGAACCTTTGTGACCTCAGCATAAGCCAGACCAAACCGATATGTGTCGTTGGTGTGGCGGGGGTATCAAACACTTGAGAAGTCGACCTTGATATGACGCTGGTTGTACGAATAAAGGATGTTCGTGTTTGCTTATTTGTAATGTGCGTGAAATCCTTCTGTCCGTTTGTACATACATTTGTTATTCTTCAATCATATATGTCCTTCTGCCTTTCACGCATCCCCCCAAAAAACAACCGTCGAAGGACAGAAGGACTGTTTACGGTTTAGCATTGAGGGTGTGTTATAATTATGGCTCGGTGTAAAAATGTCAGAGGTAAAAATGTCAGAGGTAAAATGTCAGAGGTAAAAATGTCAGAGGTAAAAATGTCAGAGGAAAAAATGTCAGAGGTAAAATTACACCCGGGTTATATATTTAATTAGGCTTATCGAAAAAGAACAGCGAGGGATATTCTGCAGTCGTTATTTCACCGCTGCTTTATTTTCCACTTTCCCAGTTTAAATTTATTTACCTTTCGGCCCAAAATTGTGACTTTTTGCCCGATTATTGCCGAAGGAAGACGGGGGGGGGGGGAGGGAGGAGGATATTCTTCTTCTGGGGCACTGTGACCCGGCTGCTCTCCCCTTCCTCTTATATATATATGCTTTGCTTTATATATCCTTCCGAACAGTGGTCAATGCCTAGGCAGAGCAGGCAGACTAATGGGACATGGTTTCTACTCCGAGTTTCGCGCCTTGCAAGCAGTCATCAGGCAACTGATAGCATTCTTAAAAGTACATGTTTATCCTACAACCTTGGTACAAATACCCCTAAAATAAAACTTAATAAAATACAATTGGAATTACTCATGAGTATTCTTATTGCATTGTATTCAGGTATTGTAGTCTTATTTTTCATTTCATTTCATTTATTTTCATATTTCTCATAAACATACATTTATTTCAAATGAAGTACAAAATTGTTTTTATTTTAATAACAAATAATAATAACAAAGATAAGTGATCAATATGAATTTGTGATTTAACTAAGAGAAATATGATGGGACCTACATGAAAGCAAGCTTGTAAGGCTGTAGGCCCCAGTAAAGTAATTGTGGTAATAAATGGAGGACGGATATACATGTATTGTATAGCTCTTATTTTGAGCGTATTTGTACCAAGGTTGTAGAGGAATCATGTACTTTGATGAATGCTATCAGTAATTTGTCTGATGATCGCTTGCAAGGCATGAAACTCGGAGTAGCAACCATGCATGTCCCATTATTCTGCCTAGTTCAATATTTATTTACCGGTATGTTATGCTTTTGTATAAGCAAATGGTACTGGTACACAGAGCAAACTTCCGGGGGGAAAGATTTCTAAAATCGAGAAGTTTGGCCATGTTTTATAGGCTGAGTTGTCGCTCCATGGTGTAATCATTAAATAAAAAGAAAAGTCAGTACAGCCCACAAAATAGGATGATTTTTTTTTAGGATCAGATATCTATGAACCTCCCCCCCCCCCCCCCCCCCCCCCCCCCCCCCCACTTCTCCTTCACTTTTGAAGATTGTTGGACATTTCAACTGCGTGGCAATGACTACTATTATATGTAATTTCCAATAAATGCATATTTCCGACAATTCCACTTTCTTGTGGGCTTGGTATTTTGATACTCTGAAAGTAGGGTCCATGCTGAAACAAAGCAGAAAGCCATGTTATCAGTGCTAACCGCACCATCACATTCCCGAAGTGCGCACGTTGCAATAAAATATTGTCGATTACTATTGCGGTATAAAATAGTCTGGGGAAAATCAATAAGCAGCTTTGTTACTCCGATACAAAGCAGAAAGCCGCCCACGTTACATCAATTAAAGAGAAGGTTGAGTTCTGGGGAAAAGTGAACAATAATGTGAGCGTTTGTTATCATTCTTATTATGCAAGTGTGGAAGAACATCAAAGAAAAAAGTTATTCCTTGAAAATCTATTTCAAATGACTTAATATCCCAGATATGACAAGTAACAGCTTTAAAATGAGGCCGATTTGTATGCCATATGTTTGTGTAGTCCCATATCAATATCTTTCTGTGTACAGTGCTTGTTACTTTACCAAGACTGAGCCAAAGATTTCATCATTTTGATGACTCCAAAACCTTGCACTACACACCAATACTTACATGTTTATGCTAGATGATCAACCTTTTCTGATTGCTTCCACACCGTTTCTTTCACAATGCAACTTCGCAAGACCAGAACTCAACTTTATCTTTAAATGCCAACCGCACCATCACATTTTAGAGAAGTGCGCGCTTTGCAGAGGTTCGGTTTAAATGACATCGTTATTTATAATTGTCGGAGAGTTTAAAATGGGGATGAGCTTCTGAATCGAGACAGTCTTTTACTTTTTGGAACGGGTTTTTAGTTTTCGGAGCGACTTTTTACTTTTCGGAGCGACTTCTTGATTTTCTTGTTCTTACCCCACTTCCTATGCCGCCATTAGGTGCTAAAGCTTTAGCAGAGTTCGGGGCGCCCAGCCCTTATATGTAACTTTTCGTGATTCCTCGGGATTATGTAACTATTTTGTACTAAATGCACTACTCACTTTAACACTTGACTTTTGTCGAGAATTTTCATTTCTTCGTTTGGACTTTGTTCGTCTCTGGAACGTTACACGGGCTATGTTGCAGGCTGCCACCGGCCAAACCGGTCCGTTTCACAAACATTAACACATCAACCAAATCAAAATATCAAAAAATGTTAGACATTCATTATATGCAAGCCTGATCACAACAAAATAAATTTCAAAATCTATTTTCCACATTGTATTATCCTCAGGACATGTACGAAACACTTTGCTAATTTTTTTGCTTGTACCTCTGACATTTTTACGACTGACATTTTTTCCTCTGACATTTTTACGACTGACATTTTTACCTCTGACATTTTTACCTCTGACATTTTTACCTCTGACATTTTTACCTCTGACATTTTTACCTCTGACATTTTTTTCCTCTGACAATTTTACCTCTGACATTTTTACCTCTGACATTTCTACCTCTGACATTTTTTCCTCTGACATTTTTTCCTCTGACATTTTTACCTCTGACATTTTTACCTGGCACCATAATTATTTTCTCAGCTGATTGGGCACGCGACAAGGAAAAAGAAGAAAACAAAATAGTTTTCAATTATTTTGTTTTTTTCGATTGATTTTTGGAATGTTAAGTTTCGTGATACTCAGTATTCTGATTTTTTTTTTAAAATTTAACAGTGGGGCAATTTTCATTACCAGCTCAATGTTCTTCTCTACATGTACATTCCATAGTGATATGAACCATAATCAAGAGTCCTGATTATTTTTTGATATTTTGTATGTTGCCGTTTGTCCCATAGTTTATCTGACTTCGTCTTGATTAAAAATTATAAAACTTGTTTCGTCCTAGTCATGACATGAAAACAATGTACGAAAATGCCACACTCAGACAGGTTTGCTTTAAAGTCTTAATTGTATATTCTCTCAAACCTACTCAACACTTTCTCACAATTGAACAATAACATCTGATCTGAAAGACAGGTTTTGTCTTAGGTTCAAGAGAATTGAGGTCTACTGACGACTACTAATTTTAAAAATAAAAATTTAAAAAGAGTAAGAAGATTTATTTTTTTAATGTCTGAGGAAAATCTGACAACTGATTTTGTTTTAACTCAATGACATGACAAAATACAAAGATCTCTATTTATAAATTGGCCACTATCTCATGGTGACAAATTGGTAAAACGTTAATTAGTTTGCGATGCTATTCCTCATTCCTCATCATTTGCTTTGTAGAATTTATAAACAATTTCCCATGTTTCCTCGGGAAACTGATTTTATGCCTTTCCTATATTCATGGTGGTGTCTTTAATGTCTCCATCATCCCAAAAGCAGTATTTTCTTTGACAAGCTTGAATTCAGAATACATTAATAAGTCTTTTATTGGTTTATATATAGACCTCAAGATCTTATAAGTAAATTACCTAAACATTACCATCAATATAGCTTTGGTTAAGGCATGAGTAAATTAGGTTGTTGGGAATAGAAAATGCAAGATATTAATATATACAAAACAATCTCTGAATGGAGACGGAATGGCATCACGTACTTGTAATTGTGCTGCAATCTGTTTCTTTGAGATAGTGGTTACGGTGATTTTAATATTATTTAAAATTCTATTACTTTCAGAGTAATGGTGTTTTAAAGACACTATGTCCCTTTTGCAGCTAACCTCAAATTCTGTAGAAATTTGCAGGAATTATGAATATGTCATGTATGTCCTATCTGTAAAATTTAAACGTTAGCAATTGTCCTAATATTCAAATTATGCAAGGAAACCCGTTTACTTGCTAGACTTCACTGTCAGCCACTATTGAGTGACTGACTGGCTTTGTTTCTTCTTTGGTAATAACATACATAACATGAGCTGTAAAGGGTACATGAGCATTTTGTGTACATCAATAACCCAATTTTTGTAATGGCCAAAATTAAACTGATTGAATCTTTGCGCAGCACAAAACGTACGACCATTCGGTATAATGGTCTGAAATCACTTGGTTGTCGATTCAACAACTAATAGTCGTTATTTTCCCACTTAAGGACATTTTCAAGCCCCCTTTTTTTAGAGAAGTTCTAAATTAGTATTATCTTTTACATGCCGTTGGAATTTAACCTGTTCATTTTTTTGACCTGCAAATGGGAAATAGTACCTTTAAACCCCATTCCAAGCCTAGCCGAAAGATGAACTTGATCTATTTTATTTTGATCGAATTTATAGGGGGTTACCAAATGTTAAATTTTCACAAGCGGAAACGGTAAAGGTCATTTTAAACCTAGCAAGTAGGTGCGAACATAGAACTCTGGAGACCTTTATAATAGACAGTTGGGAACAAATTAATCATGAAGAGAAGATATACCTACTACATAGTTTTCATCTATTTCTTGCTATGTCTTTTCGGTATAACCCCATTCCTAACCTAGCCCGAAGACGATCTTGATTTGTTTTAACTTGATCTTATTTAAACGGGTCACTGATTTACCAAATGTTAAAGTTTCAAAAGGGCAAACCAGAAGAAAAAAAAGGTTAAGGTCATTTTAAAAATAGCAAGTATAGGTGCGAAAATAGATATCCGGAGACCTTTACAGAAACAACAATAGCGGTCTGTTGAACCCTATAAAGAAAAGCTAACGGAAGCCCCTGGATGTATCTATGCATGCATTTTCTAAAGCTAGAGCCCTTTAGACATCATTACTGATTAGTCAATATTATTATAAAATGTCCTTGTTTTATTTGTTACTGTCTTTATTTTTACAACTTTATTCACATCCAGCATAATTGTACGTGTGTTCCATTGACATTTTTGCTTTACTTTTTTATTTTTAACAAGTAAACTAAAATTCGGCATTTATGTGTACAAGTTTACCTTTTTTAATAACTGATCATTATTCTATTTAAATCCAGTATATTTGTGTGTGTGCTATTTAATTATTAATTTATTACAATTTTTATTCCTACAATGTTATTCCCATCCAGCATGAGGACTGACTTAACTGTCCGAAACACGTTTTGGACAGTGAACATCGGAACAATTATGATCACCTACCAAACCTTCGGTATGAACCAGGCCATAGTGCAGCGCTGCATCAGTCTTGGCTCCGCCCAAAAAGCAAAATGGTATCTTAACTTTATAATGAGATTTAATAATGGTGGTGAAAACGATAATAATGATGATGATAATGATGATGATGATAAATTCATGTTAATGATAATGATTATACTGATAATAATTATTATTATTATAATAGTAATAATGATATTAAGTATATTGTTAGTAATAATAATGAGGAAGAAATTATGATAATAATAATGCAATTATAATAGTTATTATAATAATAATAACAGTAATAATATAATAACCTCTGATTCTTATATAACGCCTAAGAATAATAACCATTACCTGAACGGGACATACAATTACGACGTGACCCACCAAAGCGCATCATACAGGAAAGTTTAGCTGATAAAAATAGAAAATAAAAAGCTAGTGATATCAGTCTTTCGTTAGCTTTTTCTGTTCTTTTTATCATTTATTTTGTCCTACAAATTTCATTACAAAAGGGCAATCGGACTGGCAGTGTTTGCAGAATGGTTTGTTCTTATACTCATGGGAATATCTGGTGTGGTGATGTATGCATATTACTCCGATTGCGATCCATACACTGAAGGCAAAGTCTTTAGTCCTGATCAGGTGAGTTTCTCTCTCTAGATATATACCAGAGTGTTCATCACCATGGATTCACTAACAATGCTGATACCAAACCAGCCACACCGATGAAACCGACATTGGGACCGCCAACAGACCGATCAAACAATTACATTACCCCCAATGGCCAAAGGTCAGTTGGTTTGGAGTCGATCTTGAGTCGGTTTGGCGGTGTGACTGAGGTATATCAATATAATTTTGTTCACATTCAGGGCGTCGATATCACGAGTGCTCGATCTATTCTGAAGGACTTCTTAACATGTTTATTTATTTCTCTACAATGTCTTTTCCAAAAATTTCAAACTTATTGCAACATAATTATGATAACAATCAAATCATATAATTAATACATAATCAAAGTTAACTACTTACAATGTAATATTAATATGAAATATTCATGAAAAAGGATTGCCACATACGCTAAATTTGAAGGCGTGTCAATCTTTTATGAAACTTAATAGTTCCCATATTCAAAAATGATGAATGAGATTGGAGTGCAATTAGATGTATGAGAAGATGACAGGGGGAGATAATTAATAGAGTGATAGAGATGGTGGCTGGGCTGACGAGATAAAGACAATAAGACATTTCGAGTTCTCTTTGTAACGCTCTTTGTAACCGCCCAAAATGTTGGAACATCCTCCCTTCCTACATCCGAGCTGCTCATTTCATCCACGCTTTTAAACCTACTAAGTTATTATCGAAACACGCTAATTCAAAGCTCTATAAGACGACAACACATCCTTTAGCAATGTCGCCTCTGTTTTATCAGATACTGACACATTCAAATCATTTATTATCACACGACTATAACAATCTTCAGTGATACGTTAATACACTTTGTATATTCACACTGAAGTAACATTGTTAGTTGTAGTTGTCTTCGTGTGTAATATCAACAATTACACTTACTAAAAAGCAAGGAGCTTCCCCTTGGTATGAACATCTCAGCAGAACATTGTGTACCTATGATTATTTCTAACGGCCTCTACTTCACCCTCCTTAGATAATGCCTTACATGGTGATGGAAGTCTTTTCCAAGATGCCCGGTATCCCGGGGATCTTCTTATCTTCAGTTATAAGCGCTTCCCTCAGGTATACCATAAGCTGATAAAAAAAAAAAAAACCTGAAGATTGATGGAAGGGGGGGGGTAAGGTGGGACAAGTGGGCAGGAGACACCACCCCCCCCCCTCTCTCTCTCTCTCTCTCTCTCACTCTCTCTCCCTACATGAACATTTATTTTGGAAAATATGTGCTAAGGACAATTATCTCCTGGACAATCACCCGGGCAATTACCAGCAGGGCAATTACCCCCTCCCCTGGAAAATTAGACCCTAGGACAATTACCCCCGGAAATTATCCCCTTTGACAAAACTGTGGCGTACTGTTGGTTAATCAGCTCAACTAATCAAATCATCTTTTTGAAAGCGAGCGAAGCGAACAAGCCTCTCAAACCTCAAACATGTCTCTGGGTGGGAGATGGCATACTAAACAAAGTTCAGGTTTATATAGTGAATCCTAACAAAATATTATCACCCTCCCCACCTCCACCGGTTTTTGTTTTGCAACCGTTCCCCTTGCACAGTGGTCTTAAGCATATTTCTATCACCCCTCCCCCCCCCCCCCCCCCCCCCCACTCAGTGTTATTTAGGGTACGCATATGCGTGTTCCAACCGACCCCCCCTTTTCAGCAAAAGTCCGGTGTGTAAAGTCAATACGGCTCGACCTTTTTCTTTTGTATACGAGCCTTTTTCCGCACCCCCCCTTTTCAGCAAAAGTCCGGTGTGTAAAGTCAATACGGCTCGACCTTTTTCTTTTGTTACGAAAAGGACATTTTGGCAACACGCATGCGGTCATTTTGAAACCTGAGTGGGGGGGCCGGGCACCCCTCCCTCCTCTCGATTACATGTACTAGAAAATCCTAGATCTGCCTATGATACTGATGACCTTAAACTTATACAATCAAGAACCACTGCAATTAATGATTTCATCTTGTATAAAAGAGTCGGAATGTTGGATTTTGGATTTACACGAGTGAATAAATACAAAAAAAGTTTTCTTTTTCTTGTTAATGTTGCCAATATCTTGTAGTACCCTATCATCTGGGTTGAACGCACTCGCAGCCGTAGCAGGAGAGGATATCATCAAGGAGATCTGGCCAAGGCTAGAAGGAAAGACCTATACTCTCATTACAAAAGCTTTGTGTAAGTGCGTTTATTATCGTGTTGTGTTGTGGTCTAGTGGATAAGTCGTCGGACTGTGGATCACATGGTCCGCGGTTCGAATCCTGCCACGGCACTAATGTCCTTTGGCAAGATATTACTTTACATTTGCCACTCTCCACCCAGGTGTTAAATGGGTACCGGTAGGAAGGAATTCCTTGAATCGGCTGCCTAGCAGGGCCGGGGTAATATTTGGAGCGCCTTGAGCGCTATGCATGGTGGATATGTGCGCTTTATAAATATCCAATATTGTTATTATTATTATCTTATTTAGGAATACATTTACATTGTGGCATCTGGAGAAAGCGAGTTGCGTTGCTTGACGAGAAACGACAGACGAGAGAAGTCAACGAAAATCTATTCAAAGCCTGTTCTAAACATCGTGTATATAAATTACAATTGAGATTTTCATTTGAAACTAACCAGATGAAGGAGTTTATATAATGGTATAAATGAATGGTATACATTTGTAAATATGTACCTTAAGTTACAATTACCACTTTTGCCATTGGTTTTGTGTTTGTTTCATTAATTGTGATATATTATGAGGAAAAAACAAATTTGAATTGTTTTCAATATAGATAGATGTAATGCAATAAACAACGGATAGTTATTTAAATCAGCCAATGATTTTCGGCACAAAATGACTCGTATGGCGTGTATATCGTTTGTTAAAAACTAGATTAATTCAAATAACTCTCTTCCCTCTCTCTCTCTCTCTCTCTCTCTCTCTATCTCTCTCTTTCTCTTGGGATAATAGCTTGTTTCTTCGGAGTGCTTGCCATTGGAGTCGCCTTTCTTGCCATGGAGATGGGAGATCAAGTACTCGCGGTAATCAACTAAATCAGCACTTTCCTAAAACACAATCAGCAAACTCAATCACGACATCTATAGGAGGGGGAACCAGAGCCCCCACCAAGAGTCCCCTCCATTGGAAACCTTGCTCAGAATTAAATGTTTTAAAAAATGAGTAGCTTAGATGTGATGGCTACCTTCCGATTTTGGTCGCCAACGTTCCTAGACGTTGTCGTTTCGTTAAAGGGATAGTTGAGTTCTATTGCAGAGGGCGCCACACAAAATAATTTGTTTGTGAGATAATGAAAAACTGAGTGTCAAATTTGAAAGTGCATACAGTTTAAATGACAAAATCATCTTTGTTTGATCAAAATCGGTTCAGAGACGGCTGAAATATCCATAAATATAACGATTTGTAATATTTGTGTACCACCACAAATATTCGATAATTTGAAAAAGCCGTTGAAAAAACAAAATGGCGCCTTTTACGTTTTATTTCAGCCAATGCTGATGTTGGCTTTTTCGTGTTGATTATAATTAAGGCACAACCAGCCGGCCCATGTATTGTTATTATTAATTAACTAATTAATCAATTAACGGTCACAATATTTTGTTGAAAGTAGAGCTAAGTTGGTATCATCGTATTGGCTAAATTGTATTGTTATTATTAATTAACTAATTAATCAATTAACGGTCACAATATTTTGTTGAAAGTAGAGCTAAATTGGTATCATCGTATTGGCTAAATTTCACACATTTTGGGGTCTAAAATTACCTTCATAGCAATTTTAGGTCCCAAAAGGGCACTAGCAATAACCATGCACTTCGAAGGCATTTGCGGTCTAAAAACAGAACTCAACTATCCCTTTAACAATATTGATTGATATAAATTATGTTACCTGCTTTCCTTCAGCTTTTCTTATGTGTCCTTACAATTACTAAACAAAAATAAGATATAGCTTTGTAATTACTCACCTAGTTCAAGGAAGTACATCAGATTCACATATAAAATATCTACGCATATGCTGCACTGTGTTGTGATTGCTGGGCTCAAAATATGTTTCTTCAAGTTGAGCGTTGTCCGATCATGAACGCTGCATATTTATGGGCAAAATGTGATAATAATAACTCAGAAAATAATGAATAAATATTGCTATAATAACCAGCACATCGTGACCGTCATCCCATTCTTAAGGTACGATTGATTAGGAATACGTTAATTGTTATTATGACCAAAGAGTGCTGAGGAGAACTTATCATGTTAGTCCACAATACATCATGATTGTCATGACATACCACGATTGCAAAGAATTTTAAGAAAGCAACTCAATGGTAATTTCAAACGCCTTTTTGAATTGTCTATATACACAAATTAAAACAAAGATAAAAATCGGATTATGTAACATGTAGTTGGAATGTTTGCATACTTCTGTAGCTGATCCACTTGGCTATTGTTCTACCCATGTTTCGATTTTATCTAAATATTTATAATCGTGTTATATGCGAAACATGGTATTTTGTTAGAAATAGAAATGAATTAAGAAGAAGAAAATTAAAACACTTGGAATTTAGTTGAACATGCTTAAAAGGTAACACAGGGAAACAGAATTTGATACATTTTGTTGCCCATTACTAGAACACTTTCATTCTTATTTCCTCTTCCATATATATTTAGATGGGTATGTCTATCGCTGGCATGACGCAAGGGGCTGTAATTGCCACGTTTACGCTGGGGGTATGCTGTCCGAGGATCAATTACAAGGTAGGACCTGTTACACGCATTATTTCGAGTGTGTCATATTACCTGCCAACCGAGGATGTGAACGCACAGAGTCGGTTATTAAAAATATTGTTTTATTTGCAATCATTTTCTGCACCTTGTCACTCTCACATAAAAGCCTGCACCAATCACTGACGTCTTCCTACCCAGGCAAATCTCGATGAACGCCTAGCCATGCTTTTGCACAGCGCCCTCTACTAGCAATTTGCGAAATGATATGATGGACGCCTCGTGCACCAGGGGGTTTCGTTCAGTGACCCCATGTGCAAAATGACGAATCAGGCATGGATTTTTTTTTTCTGGAGTTCCTATAGGAAATATATTTATTCAGATGGTCATATCTCAGCCAATACTTAACATATCCAATTGGTTTCGACATTTGGACATTATATTTGATGTTCTTTCGGAAAATGAAGACAAAATTTAGAAATTCTTAAAATAGATTTTTATGACGTCACAGCTTCGTACTCTATTTCAACCATTAACAGAAATCCATAACATTGTAATATAATGGGTGCTCTGTCTTTCACACTTCTTTGTTAATTTTTGGAACTTGGACATAGTGGGACGAATCATTCCATTTCATTATATTTACGTATAGATGGGTGACAATGGGACAATAAATAACTAGCATGCAGGAGAGAAGTAATGTTTAGAGAAGTAATGTCGCCGCAATTCTGTTTTTTCTTTCAAGCTTAATATGACGTTGTAGATAAAGCTCTATAATATTCTTTCTTTCTTTTTTTCTTCATTTTCTTTTTACATTCCAGGGTATCTTGATGGGAACCGTAGTTAGTACAGGCATTCTGATATGGCTGAAAATCGGGAAGATGTATGCAGAGAACATTCGATCAGACAGACTACCGCTCTCTGTCGAAGGTTGTTTGGTCGAACAGAACTCAACCAACCTCACTTATTACGCAACAATGGCGACCGACACCGAGACATGGACATCGTCCCTCAATGAGACAGTGACTGACGAAAGGTACAACTTTTGTTTGTGCTTGACAGGATTTTGAATGATTGTATAAATTCTTAAGCGGACTAATAAACATCTTTTTTTTTCAAACATGGCTTCATACATCGAGTCTTATATACCTACATGATTATCCAAATACTTCCTTCGTACGTATCTGTAATACCAAAGGAAACTGGCCTTTCACGAATACCAACTCCTGATATGCCTTGTTTATACCCGCAGTCAATTTTTCGAACTTCTAAATGACAGTTTTGCACATTTCGATCAAATAGAGTTAGCTTTGCATTGAAATATTAAAAACTTCAATTTTCAGCCCCAATACATTTAATGTATATAGACTGCATCGTTTTTTTGTTTTTTCGTGTCCTTTTCTGTTTGTCTTAGAACTGCGTTGGAGAACTTCTACTCATTGTCTTTCCATCTGTATGGCGCTTTTGGATTACTTATCACCGTAGTCGTCGCTTTTATAGGCAGTGCCATTACAGGTTAGTATCAAAATTATGATATATATATATATATAACTGAAGTTATTACGATAAGATTAATAATGTAATATCAAAAAAATATGTTTAAAGCCATTTTTACGTCGGAAAAGTGATGCGTGGTTCGTAAAGATAGACATATCTAATGGTCACTCGATGGGAGCAGACATTTATAAATGATATTTAAAGAAGGAGGTAAAACATGTAAAAAGAAAGCAATTCTTATAAAGAAAACCGAGAGAGAGGGCAGCAAATATCATCCACATAGTTTAGCTCTAAAAAAAATTGTAATAATAATACTACATAGAAGTTGTGATTTTGTTTTTTTATACTTTCGACAGACGACCAACGAAAAAAAAAACGATTTACTTGAAATGCACTTCATAGAGATTTGCTAGAAGTTACAAAGTATAATAAATAAGTTATATATATTTATCATTACAAGTGGCAAAATATGATGAGAATTTGAAGGGAAAAAAATCAGCTACTGTAAGCCTAAATCACACTATGCATCCATGAATTTTTTTTGGCTTTTCTGCCACTTAGCGTACTAACAAATTACAGTCGCTTAGTTCTTGCTATTAACACATTTTCTTTTCAATGTGACAAACCTCTGGTGCTTATAATCAAGAATAAAACATTACTCATTACGCTATCATCTATTTTATACAGTGGCTCTACAGTAGAGCCACTGTATAAAATAGAGTTAATAACTATGAAACGTAGTAATTATTTTGTACAAATAATAATCAGTTGATGTTATACGCCATTTATGACAATTGCATGAAAATTACAAGACTTTGAATTATGTTTGTTTCAATATCATCAAGGTGAAGAAAAAAATAATAACCACATAGTGGTTTGAAAGAGAAAAATAAGGTTCGGAATCATTTTAGTGACTCTACACTATAATATCGATACAGTACTAAACTGTACAAAATAAAAACTAAATTTGTTAGAAATTACAACTAATAATGGGTATTTTCTTATGTCCAGGTTTCAATGATCCAGACACAATAGACAAACGATTATTGATCAACGTCGGTGATACTTTCTGTTGCTGTCTACCTCGACGATGGCAGAACAAGCTGCATATTGCCGATGACGTCAGTGATGACGAGTACAAATATGCTGAGGTAAAAAGTCCATACGTTTAATCCCAGAGGCAAAGTTTGGTGAACCGAGTGTTTTCAGCAAGTTTAATTGATATGAAGCATTTAACAAGTAAATTGGTTCTGGAATCAAGTTCTCTGTCTCCGAAGTGAAAATAAGGTATTGGGTAACGCACTGTTGGCGAGTTAACCACGCGAGGGCGCTGTGTAATAAACAGTACGCTAGGGAAGAAAGTTCATCATTAGTCAAATATCGTTTTCAGTGATATGAGATCGTTTTAAGTGATATGAGATTGTTATTGTTTAAGTGACCTAATATGTCGATCATGATTGTTTAAGCGCAACGAAAAGACGCTTTAACAAATGCATTTTGGATTAGATTGGATGCGAAGGAAATGCATTGATTAAAAAGTCTGAAACATGATTGTAATACAATGACATCTAAAAGGTAAACAGCAGCCCTCAACATTTCAATAACGAAATAACAAAATGCACCTTTTCTCTTTATTGTAGTCTCACGAGGTTACCAGGGGAGATTCCTACGCAAAAATTCCACAAGAGCCGGTGCTAAATCACGAGGACAAAGAAGTCTTCGTATCTCAGCCTCAGTACTCCGCGACCAGCTTTTGAAACCCGGCACAGAAGAATCAGGGACAGCCGTCGTTTTGAGATTGATGTTATAGACATTGACTAGATGACATGGAAGGCTACATTGAATTCAATTAAATTCAAACTCATTTGACATTCAATTAAACACAGAATTCTTAAAATAGGTTGTAAGTAAGGGGCGATAGAATGTACGTATAAGGTGAGTGGGTGGATGGTAGTTAGATTAGATTGATAGTCGATAGATTAAATGGATAGTCGATATATTAGATTGATTGACTGGTGGATGGATGGATGGATGGATGGATTGGTTGGTTGGTTGGTTGATTGATGGATTGATGGATTGACTGCTTGATTGATTGATTGATTGATTGACTGGTTGATTGATTGATTTATTGATTGACTGGTTGATTGGTTGATTGAATGATGGAAGAATATATTGATTAGCGTATAATTCTCATTCCATGCGTATTACGATAAGAGGGCTGATATGTTTTCTAGAACCTGAAAACATAGTTTTCCGGCATAAACGTTGATTATCTACTAACTCAGTGGCGGATCCAGGGGGGGGGGGGGGGGGGGGGGGGACCCGCCCCCCCCCCCCCCTTGAGAAAAAAATCATGTAAAATCACGCGATTTTTTCCTTTTTGGGGGGTTGGGCCCTCCCCCCTGGCGCTCAAGGGGGGGTGCAAATTTTAAAATTTTCGAGGACCAAAAAAAAAAAAATGTGCTCACCCCCCCCCCCCCCCCCCCCCCCCCCCCACCCCCAACCCCCCACTGAGCGACTTTTCGGCTGGTTGAGTCGTTGCGATTTTTTTTTTGGGACTCCAAAAAAAAAAAAAAAAAGTGTCCGCTTACCCCCCCCCCCCCCCCCCACTGAGCGACTTTTCGGCCGGCGCTATTTTCAAATTTTCGGGAGCAAAAAAAAAAAAGTTGGGCCCCCTCCCCTAAGAAATCCGCGCCTGTACTAACTTACAAATGTCTTCCAATCATGACGCTTTCCAACATGTAATTTGGATAGTAACGAATATCGACTGCTACCAGATACACAGATTGCTTTCATTTCGTTATTTTTGTGTTTGTCTTGGTCATCCTGGTCTTGGTGTTTGTCGGTGTAAAAGGAATGAATATGACAAAATTTTGAATTACTGACTGTTAAATCGTTTATATTTATGTTTGTACAGTTATTTAGTGTAAAATAGTTCAAAAATCGGTTAAAAAACTGAAAGTGAATTGTGTATTTTATATTGGTATTTGGTTTCATTTGATAATAAATCTAAACTTTAAAATAAAATAAAGTCTGGTATATTATATTCTTGCATAATTCTCGTACTGACCTTTGACCAATGTTATCCTGGCTTGCTCAACTTCAGGTGTCACCTTATAGGTACAAGAATGAATCGGCTAAACCTATCAGTTGCGACTCCCTCACGTTCTGGCATAATCTCCGTGCATGTATTACAGTAATTTGGTCCATCACACAAAAAGTCTTAACGGAATCGTCATAGGTACCTCTCGATTAGTCTAGACTTGTGGGTTGTCGGTCTACAGCAATATCCCCGTTATTGAAAACGTTTTCGATTCCTGACATCGGCGTAATCTTTCTAACTTCCTAATTGAAATCAATAGACCAGTTCACGGTTATTACATGACCCAAATGACCCCGAATATCAACAGGTCTTCAAAGTCATGAAGAGGTCCCACTTTGTACATTCTGAAATAATCACTCCTACAGCGATGGAGGTGCTACATAAATGGCCTTTGTTTCCCTTTTTCAAAGAATACTTCCACCTGTGTTTCATGGAGTGCACTGCTTGTGCATAAATGAATAATGATTACATAACTTTCATGAGCACGTATCCAGTATTATTCTCTCTGTGTATCTCACAATTTGGACTGGAATTTGGGGGCGTCCCCCCACCCCTTGTCCATCTCCGCCTGGTCCTACCACTTAAACCAACTCTATCGTTCTTTTGTTCATGTTCGCTCATTCATGTACACTTCACATGAAAATGTGCACCTCGTAGTCTAAGAAATGAAACCCTTTCCTTTATTACCACGATATTTTCAATTGTTTTCTAATTATCGCGTTGGGAAGACAGAAGAGAGGGGTGAATGACAGAAAGGAAGACTAGAAAAAGGGAATGGAGGTTTAGAGAGAGAGAGAGTGAGTGAGAGAGAGAGAGAGAGAGAGAGAGAGTGAGAGAGAGGAAGAGATAGGTAATGCAACAGTATGGGAAAACACAGATAATGGAAGTGAAATATGAAAAAATATTGAAAGAGTATCTGAACCTACTATACCGTTTTTCGGCAAGAGCTGGCGCCTAGACCCCTTTAGAACACTGCCGTTATCTCCTTGGGTTGACCCATCCTCTCATCTGGTGAGAGACAAGACAGATAGAAGGGAAACAATGGTAATGTGGAATGCACATTATTATACATGTACTACGTAAAATGCTTTCTAATTTCACCACCAGTTGCCTGCATCAAGATTTTAATATTTTCGTCTCGTATTGATTATATGACCATTTTTTGTCATTAATCAAATAAAACAGAAGCGAAAAAACATTGTTCCATGTTTCGCACTTGACCGGGAATGCATACTTTATTTAAGAATCAGAATTAAAGAAATTAAACTGTTTTTTTTCCTTCCTATTTTTGTATTGCAAACTTGCAGACCATGAATTATGACATAACTGATTGAACGCTGTGCGATGGGTGAAATGTCGCCCTCTACAGATCGACGGTTTTTTTTAGTAGACAAATTTCCCAGGTACCGTCGTTCTGAATTTAATTACTCCCATTCAACTTTAAAGAAAAATCAAGATCATAATGTAAAGGAGAGTAGCAATAAAATTTAATTTGTTCTGGCTTCCACTTTGAAAATAAAGTCACTAATTGCGGCAATTTATTTATAAGCTGTTGCATTTTAAACTTGTTCTATTTGTTATCTAAAGGTGATGTAGACATACTTAGACACCTACGCAGTATGCTTAGTGTAAGCGAATACTATTCAAATGTTCTAATTTGTTAATTTGTTTTTCTTACTTTTTTTTTTTTTTTTTGATAACTAATTTGAGCTTTTCCTCAGATTTTGTTTTCGGTTAATTAGCAATGAACACCGGATGAAAACTGTGTCTAAAAATAATGGCATTTGTATGTGATTGCACCTCCATAGTGCGTTCACGAAATGCACCCGAGCATTAAGAAATCATTTTTACGCACATTTCTAATTTGACAAACTGAACGATAATTTCTTTTTCCTTCAATTTCCAATGTGTTCTAAGCAGGTTAAGATACCTTGTTGCACAATCAGGCAACCACTAATATTTCAAGTTTTACCGACAGATGACATCGTATCTTTGAAAGTATTTTGCACAATGATGATCCTTATCATCAAAGTGATTGGATCCATTCGTTATACGGATTTCTTTCCAAAATCGTTTTTTCATCTTTTTTAAAAATAATATTTGCTTTTTCAATCATTGAACTTACTATGATATAGGAAATAGAAAAGTAGGAAGTGTTTTTTTCCTTCAAAAACTTTCTCTATACTGTTGCCAAGAAACTTTGTGCTTCAGAAGTCTCAAGAAATGTGCGTGAAGAATGAATAAGTTACTTGCTTTTTCGAGATGAAGTCCCGGGAGTGGACAGGGCTCAAGGAGGTTTAATCTCGGAGCTACATTTTGCGAGAAAAAAATCCACTTGGGATGAGACCCTATCCCCCCATCCCCCAAAGTATTTGCCCCCCTCTCCCAAAGCTACAACCTTCCGGCACCCCTCATAATGAAGTAATACCCCCTTCTCTTTGTATTTCTTTTGTTTTATTAAATCATTCTTTTTAAGGGATGGCGACTTTCGAGCGACAGTTTCAAAAACCTTTTCACCATTTTAATACACAACCAGTCTCCTTGGAATACGGAAAAATAAACAATCCCTTGCGCTTTGAAGTAATTGATGTAAAGACTTCTGACGGAGCCTCTTCCTATCCCATCCTCTATCTGCAAGAACCAGATACTTCCGCCTGTCGCTGTTCATCAAGTTCCAGCGCACATCTTGTTGAAGTTCACGCCGAGCCCATCACATTGTTACATCCCTCTTGACACTGTAACATGACCCGTGGAGCCCCGATCGAGAGGGCGAGCAGACATCCCTCCTGTCCGCTCGCACCAACGGGAACAAGGAGAGTTAAAGGCGAAGATGGCAGGAAATTGAAATCGGTAATTCGAGATGGGATTTCTAACAAAAGTGGAGATGAGCTTTTTTAAAAGGTGTGATGAGGCCAGGAGTGAGAGAGAAGATAGCCGATAATTGACATTCGCCCGGTTTTTCGCGATTGGAGTGTGGTGGCCAAGTTAGCCATATCTTCTGTTAACCCTTTCATTATCCTTGACGAAATTGTGCCATGGAAAGTGTCACAACTATATTCAGCCCTCCATGAGGTGTGATTTTGAATTACCTGGAGGTTTTTTTTTTCTATCTACTTTTGATTTTGACGGCAAAGTAAATGTAAATTTGTATAATTCATCCTTGGATAGACTTTTGCGTATTCAAAACAATTCATCAGCATGTCTTTGAAAATAGAACAAAAAAATAAGCGCCAACCACGTGACTGGGTGGGTCATTCCTCAGAAGCTTACGCTTGAGGTTAGCTGGCCATCCTGCAAACATTTTGGGAGGGGCAACTAACCCTGTACGTTAACTACATTATGTTCCCTCCCTGTTTAGTAAATACAAGTTATGGGAAAGAACTTAAAGAAAAAAGAAGATTGAGTTCTGGGGCGAGGTGAAAAATACTTTGTGACTGTTATCACGCGCTTTATGCAAGTGTGGAAGAACATCAAAGAAAAAATGTTCCCTGAAAAGCATGACTCTTCCAATGCCTTCTTATTCTAAATATGACAAGTAACAGCTTAAAAATGAGACCCGATTTTTATGCGACTTGTTTGTGTAGTCCCATATACATCTTTGTGTATACAGTGCTTGTTACTTTACCAAAACGGGGCCAAATTTTTTATCATTTTGATAACTCCATAACCTTTCAGTACACACCAATACTGATATGCTACATGATCAACTTGTCAAGACCGTTTCTTTCACAATGCAATCGCATGATCGGAACTCAACTAATCTTTAAGGGCAATTTCAATACACTACAGAAATGTCTATATGAGTTATTACGTAATATGTCGATGAAATCTTTCCTACACTTCAAGAGGTGATGCACAAGGCTATTGAGATTGACTGAGGTTTATTTTTCGAAAGCCAATGGAATTGTGTTCAGAATAAAATTAACATGTTTGATAACATCAAAGATATTAGGTAATGTCCATGTACATC